TGTCAATTTTATTTTATCAAAGTAATATATGCATATAGTTTTAAAAGCCATAATGCAAAAAAGTTTTAAAACAAAGGACAGCATCATAGTGTTTTTCCACTCCATCCTTCTCTCTTCCTTTTTCTCATAGATATTTTCTGCCTAAAATATTTGATGACAATGGACCTATATTATTTTTAAAACTACCTCTATTTTTAAAATCCACTGTACCTCTGCAATTTTTATGTGAAATGAGAGATGCAAATTATAACGTCTATGGCAGAAAAACATGATAGTATAGAAAAAAACAATATTAGTAACATTTGTGAAGAAAAACACCACACTTAAAATACAGCTTCTATTTCTTTGTTTCATGAAGTGCCAAAACAAAATTATTAGGTTACAAAACTTTTCCCATTATAACAAATTATTTCAGTCCATATCATTCTGTACAACATTTGTTTGGTTCATAGAGTGTTTGTTAGAAACCATTAAGAATGCTTATTCAGGAAAATATAAGTGGTGCTAGATCACTGTCATTTCTTATAATTGAGTAATATTCCGTTGCATACATATACCAAACTTTAATAATCCACTCATGAATTGACAGGCACTTGAGTTGTTTCCACGTCCTTGCAATAGTGATCTAGCACTGCTTATATTTTCCTGGATTGAGCTTGAGCCCATTATGCAAAGTGAAGTGACACAAGATCGGAAGAATGGGCTCCACTTGTACTCGCCATCAAATTGGTACTGACTGATAAACACTATGGTGCTCAAATGGTGGTGGTGTTTTCCAGGGATTGGGGTTTGGGGGGGTAGATTCACAACTGAGGGATGCAATGAGCATTGTGGAGGGGAGGGGCATACTTCTAACTCTTGCTAGGAAGAGGCAAAGATATAAAATGTAACCAAAATGTTTGTACTTTCATATTTTCCTGAAATTAAAAAAAAAAAGAGGCCGGGCGTGGTGGCTCACGCTTGTAATCCTAGCACTCTGGGAGGCCGAGGCAGGTGGATTGTTCAAGGTTAGGAGTTCAAAACCAGCCTGAGCGAGACCCCGTCTCTACCATAAAAATAGAAAGAAATTAATTGGTCAACTGATATATATAGTATATATAAAAATCAGCCGGGCATGGTGGTTGTGCCTGTAGTCCCAGCTACTCGGGAGGCTGAGGCAGGAGGATCGCTTGAGCCCAGGAGTTTGAGGTTGCTGTGAGCTAGGCTGACGCCACGGCACTCACTCTAGCCTGGGCTACAAAAGCGAGACTCTGTCTCAAAAAAAAAAAAAAAAAAGAACATTGCAGAATAAAAGAGTGCACAAACTATTGAACTCATTCTATGATAAGCCAAATTATTTATCTTGCAATTATTTTAATAAGTGTATTAGTGTATATATCATCTAATATCCACAATAACTGGAGATAAAAGACACTCAGATCCCTAGAGCAATTTAAAAAATAAAAGTATGTATCGGGAAAAAAAAAGGAATGCTTATTCAGCTTGTAAATAAGAAAGGGACAAATAAAGAGCCAATTATTATTTAATTCATACTTAGCTGTTCAGTTTATGAATTAATCATGCTACTTTTGTTTTTTTCTTTTCCCATCATACTGTTTGTCATTGACTGCATAGAATCACCACATAGAATCATTTCCTCAAAAATGTTGAATATGGAGAACTCTTGCTACTTACTACCAGCTTGGGTAGAGAAGATGCTGAATCATGAAACTTATTCTCTGAGGAATGAGTGGGAGGGGGAATGGGGGGGAATGCTGAACAACAAATTTCTGTACAACAGAAATTTGGGGATTATCTTTGCCTTGGATTATCCCTCCAGAACATTTTGGTTTTGTACTATTTCAATTTAAGAAAACTTAAAATTGCTAGTTCATTCAACTTCTTAATTTTTGATATGTCTAAAAATTCTTTCATCTTTGTTCTGTGTCAAAACTCTTATTGCGAAGCAATTACATAAAATTAGATGCTTCCCAATAAATGTTTATCACCAGATGTGATAAGTTATTCATAGTTGTGGGTAATTTTATGAAACTAAGGTGCTTTTATGTCACTATGCATCTAACTTCAACAATAATCTTCTCCAAAGTATTTGCACATTGGACAGTGATGGGTTGACATGGGGATCAGGTGTTAGTGAGGATAGAAAGGTTTGTCTCCTATTTGTTTAAGGGCACCTGTGAGACTTGCTAAGGTGAAATGGTGGTATGTCTTTAACATTCTCATGCATATAGCACTGTGAATCTACTATAGAGTCTTTTTCCCCTTAAAGGGAAAAGGTGTCAGACCTTAGTATACTTATGTTACTAATAACTAGAGTAGTGAAAAATCAACAAGATTTTATTGGTGAAATGATGGATCAGAATGGGCAAGTAAAACAAAATGGTCTAGACCAAGCAACCTTCTACAACAGTATTGTCCAGTAGAACTTTCTGCAGTAATGGAAATGTTCTATATTTGTGTTGGTCAGTATGGTACCCACACATATGACTGTTGAGGACTTGAAATGTGGCAAGTGTGACTGAGGAACTGAATTTTAATTTTTAGTTAATTTAAATTTAAATGGCTACATGTGGCTTTTGGTTACTACATTGGACAGTGCAGTTCTGGAATAGTCCTTTCTCTGCCTCTTAACCTCTTTGCTTCCAAAGTAAGACATAATCATATTCTCAAAGAGCACATGGCCTGTGGAAAAGACAGACAAATATTTAACCTTAAGATCAAGAATATAAAAAAATGCCGGGCACGATGGCTCACACCTATAATCCTAGCACTCTGGAAGGCCGAGGCAGGAGGATCACTCGAAGTCAGGAGTTCCAGACCAACTTGAGCAAGAGTGAGAGCCCACTCTACTAAAAAATAGAAAGAAATTAGCTGGACAACCAAAAACATATAGAAAAAAATAACCAGGCATGGTGGCATATGCCTGTAGTCCCAGTTACTTGGGAGGCTGAGGCAGAAAGATTGCTTGAGCCCAGGAGTTTGAGGTTGCTGTGAGCTAGGCTGACACCTGGCACTGTAGCCTGGGCAACAGAGTCAGACTCTGTTTCAAAAAAAAAAAACACAAAAAAACAATATAAAAGAAGCAAAATAGAGAGGAAATAAGATATGTCCAGCTGAAAGGAACAGTGTCTATTAATACATTAAAATTAACATGAGGCAAACAGTGAGGTTGGACCTTTCAACGGTGACATCTCTTTTGGATTTGCTCTTGGGGAATGGTCCATTTCTTTACAATAGAAGATGCACAGTAAGCAGTCTTCTGCTACTGCTCTAGAATTTTCCTATATCTGTCATGTATAAGCCCTGTTACTACTTATTTCATTGAAAAAGTCTGTACCCCTACCTGATCTATGAATTTTTTTTTTTTAGAAATTAAGCTGTTATTTTCAAACCTCAGAAGGTTAATACCACATAATTTAATATCTATTTCTTATTTTTTCCTTTAATTAGATTAGAAACTTGAAAATGGGCATTATGATTTTTTGTTCTGTTGTTTTTCTTTTTTTTTAATTTTATTTCAGCATATTATGGGGGTACACATTTTAAGGTTTCAAATAATGTCCTTGCCTCCCCTTCCCCCACAAGTCTGAGCTTCAAGTGTGACCATCCCCCAGGTGGTACACATCTCACTCATTATGTATGTATATACCTGCCCCCCCTTCCTCTCTCCCACCCATCCAATGCCCAATTAATGTAGTTCCTATGTGTCCACTTAGGTGCTGCTCAGTTAATACCAGTTTGCTAGTGAGTATATATGGTGCTTGTTTTTCCATTCTTGGGATACTTCACTTAGTAGTATGGGTTCCAGCTCCAGTATCCCCTGGTACTCATATTCTTAAATCATGCACTCAGAATCATTAAAGAGGATGTTTCTGTTTTTCCTCCCAGTAAAAAATTTTCTAAATTTTTCAAGATTCCTTTTCTATATGAAAAACTATCTTCATGTAGTAGATTTTTCATTTCATCAAGTGTAAACAAATCAATTTAAGTGCTTTGATATTTCTTTACATAATTTCTGTGTTCACAATTAAATTTTTGCTAACTCTTTAATGAAAATTAGTGATTTTATTCAGGGCTTCATTAAAATACTGGGAAACGTGCTGTAATTAAAAAAATATTAGTATGTTTTCTGGAAATATTAATTTATGAATCAGTAAGAGTTATAAGAATAAAATGATGGGGCCAGGTGCAGTGGCTCACGCCTGTAATCCTAGCACTCTGGGAGGCCGAGGCAGGTGGATTGCTCCTCGAGGTCAGGAGTTCGAAACTAGCTTGAGCAAGAGCGAGACCCCGTCTCTACTATAAATAGAAAGAAGTTCATTGGCCAACTAATACATATAGAAAAAATTAGCTGGGCACGGTGCACATGCCACATGCCTGTAGTCCCAGTTACTTGGGAGGCTGAGGCAGAAGGATTGCTTGAGCCCAGGAGTTTGAGGTTGCTGTGAGCTAGGCTGATGCCACAGCACTCATTCTAGCCTGGGCAACAAAGCGAGACTCTGTCTCAAAAAAATAAGTAAATAAAATAAGATGATGGGTTAGCATTTCAACTTTTAGAATAACATGATTTTGAGATATTTTATATCTTCTTAAATATATATTTTTAAAACCACTTTGGTACGGTGCTCACTGGCCGTAAAACCTTGCTCACCGCCAGCACTCATCATCAGCACGATAGTTTGTGCTGTGCACTGACGACGAATCTGTTTTGCTCTTGTGAGATGAGGAAAGCTTTAAAGCTCTGAAAGCTAGTTTTACTTTACAGGCAGCTTTACTTGTAATGTAAATCAGAATAGGTAACATATACATACATGTTTTCATTACGTTATTTTTAAATGTTCACAATTTTATTTTGATAAATGAAAAATTAGAAAAATCAAGTTTTGTTATTTAACTCTGAAGTTGACACTCGGCTATGTGCGTTCATCTCTGGCTATCGACTGTAGTCGCTGCTTGTACCAAAGTGGTTAAGAATTTTAATAATATTTTCTTCTCTCTAGATTTTTGCTTCAATGTCTTGAGGATCTTGATGCCAATCTACGAAAATTAAACTCTCGTCTGTTTGTGATTCGTGGACAACCAGCAGATGTGTTTCCCAGGCTTTTCAAGGTAATTTGAAAAAATTTGCATGAAATAATAACCTTTTGTCAGGGAAGATAACATGTTTGTTAAATAAAGCCTTTGGCTAATTTAAAGTGTGGAGAATATAAATATTTTTAAATGAAAATGTTGTGGTTTTTTTATTTAATGAAAAAGTTGGGTCAGGCACGGTGGCTCATACCTGTAATTCTAGCACTCTGGGAGGCTGTGGTGGGAGGATTGCTCAAGGTCAGGAGTTCAAAACCAGCCTGAGCAAGAGCGAGACCCCATCTCTTCTAAAAAAAAAAAAATAGAAAGAAATTAAATGGCCAACTAAAAAGATATGTATAAAATATTAGCCAGGCATGGTGGCACATGCCTGGAGTCCCAGCTACTTGGGAGGCTGACGCAGAAGGATTGCTTGAGTTCAGGAGTTTAAGGTTGCTGTGAGCTAGGCTGATGCCATGGCACTGTAGCCCGGGAAACAGAGTGAGATTCTGTCTCAAAAGAAAAAAAGAAAAAAAAAATGGAAAAGTTGTACATGGTAAAATCAGACAATAGAAAAATAGTTTACAATGAAAAGTTAAATCTTTCTTCTACCTTAATCTGCTAGTGCCCTTCCCAGAAGCAATAACTACTGCCAGTTTCTTGTGTATTGAATTAGAAATATTCTTTGTATAAATAAGGATTTTTATGAGTGTGTTTAAATATATTGATCTGTATGTTTATGTTACTGTTCCCTTTTTAAAAAACTGATATGAGAACACACTGTATACACCATTCTATGCCAAGCTTTGTTCATATAACCATATGTTTTGGAGATTGTTCCATATACTTCCTTAGTCTTTTAAATGATGCCATGGTATTCCATTGTGTAGACAGCTCTAATATCTTTAAATAGATTTCTGCTGAACATTTAATTACTTTTTCTACAGGCTTTTTGCCAGTAAACATCCTTGTCCACAAATACATATCTTTGCGTACACGTGCCAGTACATTTGTGGGATAATTCTTAGAACAGGACTTTCTGGGTCTAAGGGTTGTAACAATTGACATTTTACCAATAATACAACATTGTAGTGTTTTGTTTTGTTTTTTAACTTGGTAGAATCTTAAAAGTCACTAAAATTTTTAAGATACTTGGTCTTAATCCCTCCTTTTTTTCCAAATGAAAAATTTAGGCCTAGAGAAATAAATGAGTTGCCCAAGATCATATAACCAGCTCATGGAAGTACTCAGACTAAAAGCTGAGTTTCTTGACTGTCCTTTTTATATTCATCTCTTCCTATTTACATTTACCATTAGCATTTCTAAATGTATATCTGGTTTTTCTTACAGCTGTTTGATTCATCAAATTTTTATAATAGTAAAGTTTTGTTTCCATTTCTTAATGTAGACGAGAACAATTCTAGTTCCAGGTTCCTAATGCTAGGAATCAAATCAATATTACTTAGCTTTTTTGGGGTTTTTTTTGGCTGGTATGAAAGAAACATTTAATATTCAGAATTTGGCTAATGTAACAGTCTTGGCTAGTGAAAATTTATCATTCATTAAAGATTGTTCACTACTATAATTCATCAAGTTAGAATTTAAGCTATATATATTGAACAGTGCTTAAAATTCCACAGTGAATATTCACTTATGCACTTCAAAGGAGGATCTCTCTCAGCTCTTCTAACTTGCCTCAAGACTGAGGCAAGTTAGAAGAGCTGAGAGAGATCCTCCTTTGAAGTGTACTGGACATTCACTTAGTGCAAAGTAGCAGCTTAGTAAAGCTTGGGGCAGAGCATCAGGGTGGAAAGAAGTCTCTAGAGATTCAGAAAAGTAGAGAACATGTCTGGAAAACAAAGAGAACTCCCCAGCAAACATAAAGCTGATGGCTAAACAGCAAACCAGAGAGAGACATCTTATATATAATTTGTAAAGCTAGTAGCTTGGCTGTAAAGCAAAGAGAGAATGATAGTCTTACCAGTGCTCACTCTCCATTTAAAAGGCACAGGTTGTCAGACTAGATTGTTTTAAAAAGAACTGTAACAAACTATATGCCAATTACAAGAGACACTTTAAAAATATTAAGAAACAGACAAGATAGCCAACTAGAGACATTGACAGATCATCCCAAATAGAGCAAGAAGTTTCAGGTGAGAAAGTATAGCCCTGGTGAAATACTGAGGGAAAGTTGCCAGCACCTACCTTACTGGAAATCCCATGAGAAGTGGCGGAGCAGAGAAAGAAGGAACAAAAATATTGGCGGAGACTAACCCCTAAGGGATTCAGAGCCCAACAGAAAGGGTAGGTGGGAGTGTTTACTTTTCCTCCCTCATACCTGTGGTATTCTATCAGCTTCTAACCTGTCAGATAGCCCTGCCCTGGCAAATCCAAGGGCTGCCACCACTGGTGAACTGAGAGCTTCTTGGGAGCAGAGCACCAGGTTGCAAGCCTGCATAGGGTTGCTTCCTCTTACCAGGAACCCAAGCTGAGACAGTGGACACCATATTGCCTGTGCACACACCATGTGCCTCTATCCTGCTGGGGAATTCACAGCCACTCAAATCTCCCTGCCACTGTGTCTTACATGAACATTCCCCAGCACCCATTTGAACTGTGACAACCACAAAGGAACAGGGAGACACAGGAGAGTAGCATTATTCCCAGAGTTCTGACTTGTGAGGCGGGCTGCCCCAAGAGTATTGGGAAGTGCCATGAATGTTTTTTAGGACAGAGGAAGGTGGAATGCACACTCTCCTGCACCAGAGAGCCTCTGGCTTATTCAGAGTTGTCTACACCCCTCTCAGTGGGGATGTTCCCAACCATTTGAAGCCTTCTCCTCCTCCTTCCCTCTACTGCCAACTGCTGCTGAGGCAGCCACAGCTGAAAGGCTGTTTCCACTCAGGACTGACACAGGGGACGATTAAGCCATGGAACTCAGGAGTGGCTGCCCCACCTCTGACAGTGTGCCTATAATACCCAGGCTGGCTATTTCCACTCAGGACCAGGAGGATCCCACGTGGGAAAATTAAGCCAGTGCACTGGGAGCAGCTGCCTGGCCTCTGAAAGAGCACCTGTCACACCACAGTTTCCATGGAGCTTGGGGATCACTCCATTCTATCTAAAAAGAAGCATCAAGCACTTTTGTTTGCTCCAAGGACAAAAGCTACTAATTCCCCTGAGGGAAAGCACAGCTAGCAGTCCTCTCACCAAGTTGCAAGCTGCCTGTGTCTTGTGTGAGGAGCCTACCCTCCATGGAGGCAAGTCCCCAACACGACCACACCTTCCTTGTTTGAGCATTTCAGCCATAGCCCTTAGCTAGTCTGGTAGCCATGCACATAGTAGGTTGAGCTGCAGCTGGGCCAGGATGAGAGCTGGGAATCTGGGCACTTTTGTGCCCTAGAAGGACAGAGACCACCGTCCTTGCCAAGAAAGGGAGGTGTGAACCGTTTGTGTGTCCCACAGCTGCCCATCTTTGCTAATCTGGTCAAGAAGGGCCCGTCCCTCCTGTTGCAGGGTCATAGTGATCCATTCTTCTCCTGTCTGAGCGTTCTTTTATAGCAGAAGAGCACCCCTGCCCTCACTGTCACAGCCAGTGCCTGAACCCAGGGAGGCTTAAGAGCAAGTTTGCCAGCTTAATCTCGGTCTATTTCCCTGGGACTAAAGCATACTCTCCAGGGACCTGGGAACTGGGTATTATCTAACCTTATCCACCATTGCTGGCACCTGGACACTTTCCCAGGGATCTGAGAGCCAACCAATCTAAATTGTCAGCAACACCTCAGTGGGTACCTACCTGCACAAGCTAAAAGGCCATACCTGTCCTTCTCTACACCAAGCAGCAGAGTTCTTCCAGAGGAGAACAGATGAACTGCAAAACTATCTGTTTTGAGCTGAGGGAAGATGTTCTAAATGAGAAGGATATAGCATAAAGACTTTGGCAATATGAAAAAGCAGGCTGTTTCAACACCTCCAAAGGATCATACTAGCTTTCCCACAATGGACCCCATCCAAAAAGAAATTTTTGAAATGTTGAATATAGAATTCAGAGTATGGATCACAAATAAGCTCAATGGGGTTGATGAGAAAGTTGAAAATCAACACAAACCAAAAAAATCATCAGGACATGAATGAAAATTCAATAAAGAGTTAGATACTTTTAAAAAGACAGAACTTCTAGAAATGAAGGAGTCACTTAAGGAATTTAAAACTACAGTGGAAAGTTTTAACAACAGACTAGACCAAGCAGAAGAAAGAATTTTAGACCTTGAAGACAAGCTTTTGAATTAACCCATGTATTCAAAAGTAAAGAAAAAAAAATCAAGAGAAATGAAGAAGACTCTGAGGAATATGGGATTGGGAATGAAGATGGGAATGAAGAAATGAAGACTCCAAGGAATATGGGATTATGTAAAACGCCCAAACATCAGAACGCGAGGTATCCCTGAGGGAGAAGGAAAAGCAAAAAACATGGAAGACATATTTGAGGGAATAATGAAAGAAAATTTCCCTGATTTTGCTAGATATTTAGACCTAGAGATATAGAAATGCCATCAAACTTCTGGAAGATTTATTGAAAATAGGACATCACCAAGGCACATAGTCATCAGTTTGGCCAAAGTCAAAGTGAAGGAGAAAATACTATAAGCTATGAGAGGAAATCATCAAATAGCTTATGAAGGAAAGGAGAGTAGCAGTATTCTCAGAGTTCTGACTTGGGAAGACTAACAGTAGACCTCTCAGCAGAAACCTTACAAGCCAGAAGGTATTGGGTTCTCATCTTCAGTCTTCTTAAATGACATAACTGTCAACCAAGAATTTTGTATCCCGTAAAACTAAGTTTCATAAATGAAGGGGAAATAAAGTCTTTCCCAGACAAGCAAACACTAAGGGAATTTCTCACCACTAGACCTGCCCTACAAGAAATGCTCAAAAGTGCTCTAAACACCAAAAAGAATGGTCAGTACCCACGAGTGTGAAAACACTTGAAAGTAAAACCTCACAGCTTTTATAAAGCAGTATGACAAAGGAGAATACAAGCAAGTGGAGAACAATCAACATGTGTCTCAGCTAAATGGTCTAAATACCCTACTTAAAAGAAACCCATTTGACATGTAAAGAGTTTCATAGACTCAAGGTAAAGGGGTGGTAAAAAATATTCCATGCAAATGTAAACCAAAGGTGAGTAGTAGTGGTAGCTATTCTTATATCAGATAAAATAGACTTTAATAACAGTAAAAAAAACATACTCTATTAATATAATAGAAGAAAAGCTAAATTTTCTCAATAAGTGAAGAAAAGTGTTTGACAGAATTCAATACCCATGATTTTTAGAAAACTTTGAGCTAAGTAGAAATAAAAAAGTGCTAAACAGCAATTTGATACAGGGAGTCTACAAAAAAAGCACAAAATCATATTTAGTTGGTGAAACACTGAATGCTTTTCACCTGAGATAGGGAACAAATCAAGGATATTTGCTTTCACCACTTACTGGAAGTCTAGACAGTGCAATCATGGAAGAGAAGGAGTAGATAATTAGCTTACGGTCTCATACCCCACCCCAATATTCTCTACCATAGCATCCTTTTTTTTTCCTCGTAGTTATTATGAAGACATTTATTTACCTCTCTGTATTGCCAGTCTTTCTCAATAAGCTCCAGGAGGGAGGGACCTAGCATGGTATCTGGCTTATAATAAGAATTATAATAAATATTTGGCGTAGGAATTTTTTTTTTTTTTTTTTTTTTTTGAGACAGAGTCTCACTTTGTTGCCCAGGCTAGAGTGAGTGCCGTGGCGTCAGCCTAGCTCACAGCAACCTCAAACTCCTGGGCTCCAGTGATCCTTCTGCCTCAGCCTCCCGGGTAGCTGGGACTACAGGCATGCGCCACCATGCCCGGCTAATTTTTTATATCAGTTGGCCAATTAATTTCTTTCTATTTATAGTAGAGACGGGGTCTCGCTCTTGCTCAGGCTGGTTTTGAACTCCTGACCTTGAGCAATCCGCCCGCCTCGGCCTCCCAAGAGCTAGGATTACAGGCGTGAGCCACAGCGCCCGGCCGGCGTAGGAATTATTAAATTTAATGTTTGGGGAACTTTCTCTTCCCTAGTTTTTTGTTTTCTTGTGGAGAGATGTTCACTAATTTATCCTTAGGAAAAGAGAAGTGAATGATCTCATTGGTGAGTTTAGGAAAAGGAACTAGGTCAGTTTATCTCAGACCATTCCTTTTCTCCTCTTTGGTTGCAGAGAGCACACATTATATTCTCTTCTTCTATTTAATAAGCTTTATAGGGCAGCCCACACTGCATGGGAGGTGCTGGTTATGACTGAATGGGTAAATCTGTTTGATTCAGCAGTAAAATAATATTAGCAAGCTTCTCTGCTCTTAAACCTAATATCTTTTCTCCAACTCAAATTTACTAGTAATGTGGTTTATATTTTCATCTTTAACTCTCTGACCTATGTAACTGAACTCAAGAAGGAAAAAGGACAGGGAAGTATTATTTATTAACTCATCTCAAACATTTACTATCTAAAATCGAAAATATTATTTCTCTAAAAAAATCATAGTATTAAATTGCAAACCTCTAGTTAGAAAAAGTTACAACATAGAACAGAGAACAGGTTGCTATTTTTAAAATATAAGGAGCTATTACAAACTTGTAAGAGAAAAATTAGGTGCAATAGAAAACTAGGGAAACATAAGCTGCAACTCACAAAAAAATAACAATACAAATGGCTAGTAATAATAATTGCTGTCATTCATTGAGGTCTTACTGTGTACTGTGCTCTGTACTAAGCACTTTACATGCATTATTTCATTTAATTCCTTTTTTTTTGAGACAGAGTCTCACTCTGTTGCCTAGGCTAGAATGCTGTGATGGCAGACATGGTAGCTCACAGCAACTTCAAACTCTTGGGCTCAAGCTATTCTCTTGCCTCAGCCTCCTTGGTAGCTGGGAGTACAGACACACACCACCATACCTGGCTAATTTTTTCTATTTTTAATTGTCCGGCTAATTTCTTTCTATTTTTAGTGAGACAGAGTCCCACTCTTGCTTAGACTGGTCTCGAACTCCTGAAGGATTACAGGCGTGAGCCACCGTGCCTGGCCCATTTAATTCTTTAGCAACCCAATAATATATTAATTTTTTCATCTTACTGTAGCAAATCCTGACATAGTATTTATTACGTGCTAGACATTCTAAGCACCCTACTTACATACTACCCATTTTATAGATGAAGAAACAGGCATAGAGAGTTGAGAAGTTTGCCTAAGTAGTTAAGCCAGTCTTTGAACTCAGGAAGTCTGACTTAGATCCTGTCTTTTTAAACTGCTACTCTATATTGCTTCACTGTAAAACAAAGAAGTATAATACTTTCTTATTCTCATTTTAATTTTATTTTTTAAATTTCAAAAGTAGTACATGTTTATACTAACATCTGAACAATGCAGCAATGTGTAAAATTAAAAATAGTGCTCTTATTTGCACTTCCAAATTCTCCTGAAGTTAACAGCTTTTAATATCTTGGTGTGCATTCTTTAAGATTTTTAAGAAAGGAAACTTTTTAAAATGAGATACTGTTTTTTTCCTAGTAGTTTAGCAGACATTTAAAAAGATCACCAATAAATATTACTGGCAAGTGCCTGGAGAGCAAGCACTTTGATGTACTACTGATGGCAATGCAAATTATGTAGTATAACTAGTAGAAATTTGATAGACTATCAGAATTTTAAATGTGCTTATGTTTGATCTATCAATTGTTTTTCAAGGAATTATTTCTAGGAGAAATAGGATAAATGCCCCAAAATGTTTAAGGTGTATCCATAAAGATAAAGATATATACCACGAAGTTTATAATAGCAATTTTTTAAAAACCCACTATTGAGAACAGCTCTTATCTAATCTGTAAGGGCTTGGAGAATCATAATGTGTTACCATATAATCAGTTAAATCATGGTAGAATTACAGGTGATTTTTTTTTTTTCTTTGTGAGATAAATCAGAGCGGATTTTAGAATTTGAAGAAACTTTACGGCCTCCTTGAAAAATCACCTAGTTCCTTTATGTCACGGTCTCCTCATTTAAAATCTACATAAGGAGGTGTATAGAACTTATTAATATGGTTTTGTACATGTCCTTAATATGTAGATGCTCTGATTATTACTACCTCCAAATTTCTCACAGTTAGCATTTTTTTAATAATCAGAAATAAAATATTTACACTTACATACAGAGTACCTCTCAAAGGTTTGTTATAGTCTAGTTCTTAGCATCAGCAGACATAAGTTCAGGTATTCTGACTCTCTGTGAATTCAAGTAAGTCTCTAAATTTTTTAAATAACCTTATTTGCAAAATGGAGATACCAACCAAAGTGCCAAACTCTGAGGGTTGTTTTGAGGGTCAAATGGGATACTGTAAGTATAAGTAATTTGAAAAAGTAAAGTGTGATACAAACGTATTTAGTGTCAGAACTAGTTTTAAGCATAGTGCTAGATTATTACCTAGCATAATGTCTGGAATCTAGTGGTTATACATTTGTCATTTACATGTTTTTAAGTTGATAAATTGTATATTTTTCCTGCATATTTGAAGTTTGATTTATGTATAATCCTTTGTCCTGTCGATTTTGAGTGTTTCACTTGTTATGATAGAAAAAAAAATTGTTAAAATTGGTGTACACTTTGCTCCTTTTTGTTTTAGGAATGGAACATTGCTAAACTTTCAATTGAGTATGATTCTGAGCCCTTTGGGAAGGAACGAGATGCAGCTATTAAGAAACTGGCTACTGAAGCTGGAGTAGAAGTCATTGTACGAATTTCACATACATTATATGACCTAGACAAGTAAGTCTTTCTTTTTTCCATTTTTTTATTGTAGGGGAAATGCATATAATATTTGCCATCTTAACCATATTAAAGTTTACAGTTCTATGATTAAGTACATAGACAAGTAACTTTTAACCACTGGGACTTTAAAAAAGTTTATAAAATGGAAATAATAACATATAGAATTGTGGGATAATTAAACGAACATGTGTCAAATCCTTAGCATTGTTTTTAATTTTCTATTTTTGGTTATTATGGATATATAATAGTTGCATATATTTATAGGGTACATGTGGATGTTTTGATACAGACATTATTTAGCTTCTGTGATTTTTATTCACCCAGTGACAGGCACCAAAATTATAGACACAGTGCATAAGATTAAAATACTTAGTATTTCAGTTCCAAAATTATTATTAAGACTATTATAAAATTTTTTCATTGACTACTCTAATTCATCCTGCTGTGGTCTTGCCTTTCTGGGCTCTTAGCATTATTAATTTTATACTCTTAATGATACATAGCCATAAATTGCCTTGATGTATTTTATATGATTGTCTTGTTATTTTATTTCATATGTATATATCTTGTCTCTCTATCTGGATTTTAAGTCTAGTTGCAGATTGAATGAAATATAACGTTGCATAGCTGTAGTCCTCTGAGCAATGGCCTAATACTATATTTCCCAAAGTGTAGTCCTTGAAACACCAGTCCCTGGTAATGCTTTGTCAGATAAAGATTCTGTGGTCAAATTTAAGTTTAGAAAGTGTTATGTGCTATGAGTTTTGGAGGTTCATAAAATTTGTTAACTTACTAAAACTGTTGGCAAATAGTTATCCTCATAAGTACTGAAATCTCACCATTTATGTACCTTTTAAATTATTTTACTTTTTAGTAATTTACACATTTTATCAAGTTAATAAAACTAATTTTATAAGTAATGTGACAAACTAGTTAATTTTATTTCACATTTCCAAGTGTATCAAAAAATAATGATTTGATTCAGCTAATGGCTTTACTTGATATTAAGCTAGAAATTATAACTTCTTTGATAATAAACTTGTCTTCTAGTTTACCAGTTTGCTTAACTTTAGGATAGCAAGGAGGAGGCAAAACAGGATAAGAACAGTTGCTTCTCAGTGGGGAGACTCAGTGTTATGCATAAAATTAGTGTTTATTGGATTGAATGTGAATATTTACCATATATATCATATTAAAATGTAACATACAGAAAATGTTTTTTTCCTAAGGTTTTCATTTTGCTACTGTTATGTAATTAACAGTCTTCAATAGTATCATTGCAATATCATTACAATCAGTAAAATTTATTATGACCTTATGTATAAATTCAAAATACTACACCAAAGCAAAATTTACTTAAAGCAAAGAGGATAATTTTTATGGTGATTATGGTTGATACACCATTACAATGTGGTATAATAAAAAAGACACTGTATCTGGACTAAGAAAATTTTGATTTTCCATTTGTCACCTATGTGACTATAGTTAACGCTTCTGATAGGCTTCAGTTTTCACATCTATAAAATGATAGGGTTGGAGTTCCCCTACAATTCTTTATTGAGGCCCAAAATGCTAATAAACAAGTAACCAGAGTGAAAAAGAATAAACGGCCATAGGCAAAGCTAGTTATTCCTTTTTTTTTTTTTTTTCTTGGAAGTATGACTTGATTGAGGCAATTACTGATCAGAAGTAAATTTAAAAGGTACTTAAATTTAAATAATTTGAGATGTTAGAGCTTATGTGTCCTAAGTATGTGACATAGATACATATGCTGACATGTCTAATGAAGTCATGAGCACAATGGAAAATAGCAAGTAATTGTCCACTACAGTTCTGTAGAATCCTAATTTGTGAAACTTGCTGAAGGAAATAGGGAGATGTAGGTCAAAGGATACAAAGTCACAAATATGTAAGATGAACAAACCTAAAAATCTAGTAGTACAACATGAGGACTATAGTTAATAAAATTGTGTCATATTTGGGATTTTTGTTAAATAAGTAGATTTTAGCTACTTTTGTTGCACACACATAAAAGCAACTATGTGAGATTATAGATATGTTACTTATTTCACTGTAGTAACCATTTGACCTATCTATATGTATCATATAGCATCATGTTATAAACCTCAAATATACCTAATAAAATTTTTTAAAATAAGACTTGTTGATTACATCTTAATATAATTTTCAGCCTAGTTTAGTTTTTACTGATAATTGATAGTTTCTTTGAGCTGGGTCATAACATGTTTTTTACATGGTTCATGCATATTAACTTTTTGTTATTGCCTTCAGGCTAATTTACCCACTTAGTTGTTTTTACTCATGGAACCTAAGGTCCTTAATAGTCTTTGTCTTAAAGGTTTGGGTATTTTCATACCATATATTTTTTATACCTAGCAGATGGTCTAGAAGATGAAGAGAATGATTTTTGGACTCTTTAATTATTTTGAACACATTTCTGGGTCATGTAAGAAGCTAACATTCTCTTAAAAGTCTTAAATGCTTAATTTTATTTTCTGGTTTTAAGCCTTTTCAGGCTTTATGAACCAAAATATATTGTCATTTTTTAAATAATAACTGCATTTTACTAACTCTTAAAATAGGATCATAGAACTCAATGGTGGACAACCGCCTCTTACTTATAAAAGATTCCAGACTCTTATCAGCAAAATGGAACCACTAGAGATACCAGTAGAGACAATTACTTCAGAAGTGATAGAAAAGTGCACAACTCCTCTGTCTGATGACCATGATGAGAAATATGGAGTCCCTTCACTGGAAGAGCTAGGTGAGTGTAAACTGCAATCAATGTGGAGCTAGAGTTAATAAATCAGTAATCACTCAGAAAATTCCACTTCTAATTTTGCCATGTATTTTGCATTAGTAGGGAAAGAAAAAAAGGGGACAAAAAAGAAGAAAGAAAAGAAACTAAGAAGTGATAAATGTGTACATTATTTATGGGCTCTATTAATATGTAATCTATTGTTATCATCTTAAGGTATACATACTAAAGAATAGAGATCATGTCATGTCCTCTATACATGAGGGCCTGTTGAGGCCCTCAGTTCATTTTTATGGTACTCTTATAATTTTTCTGAAAAGCTATTTGTTTTCTGAATTATTGTGGTTACATAAAAATTATTTTAGTTTCAGAAGAATGATTTTTTTTTTCTTTTCTTTTCTTTTTTACTTTTTAGGTTTTGATACAGATGGCTTATCCTCTGCAGTGTGGCCAGGTGGAGAAACTGAAGCACTTACACGTTTGGAAAGGCATTTGGAAAGAAAAGTATGATAATATAGCCTTGCTCATATTTCCCAAATGTCATTTAAAATAATTTAATTATCTTTTAAAAACAAAGAATAGACTATTGAAAATGGAGGATTGAGGGAAATAGTAAAAATAGCACAACCCTAATTATTTGAAAATTAACACCTATCTCCTCATGTAAATGCCCTTTCCCCTCCTATTATTTCCTCTTTAGCTACTACCATACTGCCTCTTCTGTTCTTTCTACCTAAGCTTGTATGTGATTACCATAACTTTGAAGCTAGGATAGAATTCTTCTATTTCATCTTTACCTCAGTGTTGAAGATGCTCTCAACCTTGTGTTGAAAATTTGAAGATAATTAATTTCACATGAGGATAGCTAAAGCAAAAGAATGCTCACTTTTTTTTATCCTGTCTTATTTTTTATTAAAACATGTAATTTGTGGCTAAGATAAGGTTTTATTCCCTAAGAACTATGTAACTTTTTAAAAATCTCAATTTTGAGCACTCTTTTAAAATCAAAAGGCAATTAATTAATGTAATTTTCTCTGTGTTTTCAGGCTTGGGTGGCAAACTTTGAAAGACCACGAATGAATGCAAATTCCCTCCTTGCAAGCCCTACTGGACTCAGTCCTTATCTTCGATTTGGTTGTTTGTCATGTCGACTATTTTACTTCAAACTAACAGATCTCTACAAAAAGGTATTATCTAAAATTGGAGCTTAAGGCCAAGCGTAGTGGCTCATGCCTGTAATCCTAGCACTCTGGGAGGCTGGGGTGGGAGGATCACTTGAGGTCAGGAGTTTGAGACCAGCCTGAGCAAAAGTGAGACCCTGTCTCTGCAAAAAACTAGAAAAATTAGCCAGGCCTGGTAGCGTGTGCCTGCAGACCCAGCTACTGGGGAGGCTGAGGGAGGAGGATTGCTTGAGTCTAGGAGTTTGAGGTTGCAGTGAGCTATGATGACACCACTGCACTTTAACCAGGCCAACAGAGCGAAACTCTGTCTCCAAAAAGGTAAATAAATAAAAATTTAAAAAATAGTAAAATTGGAGCTTAATTTTCAAGATACTTTTAAAGAAATTGCTAATAATACTTCTTTGCTTTTTGATCATAGGTAAAGAAGAACAGTTCCCCTCCTCTTTCTCTTTATGGGCAACTATTATGGCGTGAATTTTTCTATACAGCAGCAACAAATAATCCACGCTTTGATAAAATGGAAGGAAACCCCATCTGTGTTCAAATTCCTTGGGATAAGAATCCTGAGGCTTTAGCCAAATGGGCAGAAGGCCGGACAGGCTTTCCGTGGATTGATGCCATCATGACACAGCTTCGTCAGGAGGGTTGGATTCACCATTTAGCCAGACATGCAGTTGCTTGCTTCCTGACACGAGGTGACCTGTGGATTAGTTGGGAAGAAGGAATGAAGGTAGGTGTTCTGACTAATATAGCATGGTCTTATTTTGAAGGAATCCATACTTTATTAAAACAAATCCAAAAGTTATCTATTATATAGATTCATGTGTAGTCTAGTTTTTCAGTAGATAAAACATTTAATCCTAGAAATACAGGCACACTTTTGGAGAGCAGGATGATATAATCAATGGTGAAAACTGGTTAAATTTGATTAACCTAAAGTCATTTCAGTGGTTAAACCAGCATAGCCATTAAGGGAATTATAAGGCCTAACACTCTGAATTTATTGGGTACATATTTTTATAAGTATCATTCTTGTCACAAATAGGATTCACCCAGGAATTCCTAGAAATAATAAATTCATATTATAAATTTTTAAATAAATCATTTCACCTCACTTCAACACCACAGCTTTTTTGTAATACTTCTAATTATGAAAAGGGAAGCATACTACATTTTGTGATATCTTGTGGTTAAACATAACAGGACTTACATACATGTTTTACCTTTCTGGCTATATCATAAATTTTTCCTATTCAAGGACTGTTTCTGCGTATAGCACACACTTAATGAAAGCATAAAAATCACTTATTTTAATTCTGCTTTCTTTTGGATCAAGGAATTTGGAATTCAAACTATGTAATGCTAGTGTATTTTTTTAAAAGTGCATTTATATCTGGGTGTGCTTCCTTTATCCAGGACAATCTATTAAGCTTCTACATTTTTTTACTTATTTGGTAGCATTTTTGCTTTCTTGAAAATGGTTTACTGCATTTTTTTCTATCTACTAATATCCTATCTTATCCTTTCAGTCAGTGACTTGAGTAATTTTTTATCCTCCCTCCTCTGGCAAAGGTTGGAACTGTAAATTCTATTCAGAAGTCTACTATATTACCAGTATGTTTCTTTCCTTGAAATAGCTCATTATAGTACAGATCATACACAAGGAAGCTAATTTTGTATTGTTTAATTTTACAGTTCTTTGGTAGATTTTCTTTGCTTTGACTTTTAATCTACAATGACCTCGAAAATGCTTGCTTTGAGAATTATGTTTGTGCAAACTAATTGGTTACTGTTACTTCTGAAGGTATTTGAAGAATTATTGCTTGATGCAGATTGGAGTATAAATGCTGGAAGTTGGATGTGGCTGTCTTGTAGTTCCTTTTTCCAACAGTTTTTTCACTGCTATTGTCCTGCTAGTTTTGGTAGGAGAACAGATCCCAATGGAGACTATATCAGGTAAATCAAGAGTGATTATTATTCAGTTTGGAATAGTTAATCCAAGAAGAACTTTTCATGTTTAAGCAATGCTTAAAGTATTCCCACTCAAGATGGGCAGCAGAGATGAGGAGAAGGGTAAACAGATCATTTAAATGGTATTGATTTGATTTTGGTTACTCATAGCTAGTAGTTCATTATAATTTGCTTATAGTGCATTTTATTAATAATTTTTCTTACTTTTCCCAAAAGGCGTTATTTGCCTGTTCTAAGAGGCTTCCCTGCAAAATATATCTATGATCCCTGGAATGCACCAGAAGGTATCCAAAAGGTAGCCAAATGTTTGATAGGAGTTAATTATCCTAAACCAATGGTGAACCATGCTGAGGCAAGCCGTTTGAATATTGAAAGGATGAAACAGATCTATCAGCAGCTTTCACGATATAGAGGACTAGGTATGTCAGTACCTACCTTTGATTTGTTCTTTTAGCAGTTGTTTACATACCTATGCTTGAATTTGATCTTGATCATAATTTAATAGGAATTTTTGTTGCCCTTTAGGTCTTCTTGCATCAGTACCTTCTAATCCTAATGGGAATGGAGGCTTCATGGAATATTCTCCTGCAGAAAATATTCCAGGTTGTAGCAGCAGTGGAAGTAAGTGAAAAGGAAATTCCTGTACTTAGTAACATAAAGAGATTAATAATCAGATACATTGCTTATTGAATCTCATTGTAATATGTTTTATAAAAATCTATCTTGAAAATTAATAGGTTTTTTGTAAACATGAATACATGTACACTCACACACACACATACCCTCACTCAATCAGTGACATTTTAGAGATGGAAAATATCATTACATGTAGTAAATACTGTCAAGTTAAAGATCTTGCAAACTGAATGAGGAGAGCAATTTTAAAGATAAAATGAAACTCAAATCTTATATTTTCATAATGCTCATTATTTTTTTATTCTCGTTAGATACATATGAGCTGTAAGGTACTTAATTAAGAAGGTCAGTGACCCTGTGAACATGACCAAGAGATTTATCATACACATGCAATAAGGGCCTCTAGTCCTTTGTGCACATGAATTTTTTCTTACAAAGTCTGATCTGTGATAGTTTTCTGTATGTTATGTATTAAGTTACCATGTGAATTCTTAATATGTATGATATTAATACTATCAAGAAGTCAATATGTACTAGGAATTTGAATCATATCAGTTTCCTTTGGCTCTAATTAAAAACAGCCTGAAGCCAAGTAATTTGATTAAAAACAAGGCAGCATTTGAGAAATGCTTATTTAAAAATAAAAAGTCAGAAGTTCTAGATTGATATTAAGAATAAAACCTTTTTAAAAAATTGAACCTTTCTGAATTCAGAAATATCCTATATGCTTATGAGAGCAGCATGTATTTTTATCCTCTGAGAATTAGTTTCTGAAGCAAGGAATAAAAAGCACTCACACTCTGACTGCCCTACCTTGTGCCCAGAGGTAGGGGATTTTTGCCCATATTCTCACAGTAACCTGAGGCTGGGGTGGGGGTGGGATCTACATTTTATGATTAGAGAAATAATCCTAGAAAGGTTAGGAAACTTAGCCAAGATCCTATAGTTAATAAGAAGTTGAGCTAAGATTCAGATCCAAGTCTGATTAGCCTCAAAGCTCATACTTTTTCCTGATCATTGGGCCTTTGCAAATGGAATGCTATTGTATATATGCAATAAAAAATAAAATATTTTATTACTGGAATGTGATTCACCCAGCAGTCAAATTTTAATAGTTATCAATGATGGTAGTATACTTCATAAATGCTCTTTCTCAGGATCTCCTACAATCTGAAGTAAACTTCAACCAGACATGATTCAGAAGTTCTTTCAGATCTCCTATTCATTTCACAGCCTGCCTTATCATCCCACACATGAGTGTGAGGGACAGAAGCTCTATGAGGCACTAAAATAATAGGCAGGTAACAGAGGGATGAGAACCAGCAGGCCTCAGGTGCCTGGCTAATGGACAGTGATGATATGCAGGCCTTCTTAGTCCACTCATACCTATATCTCTTTATTTGGAATTATCTTCAAAAGCTAATCACGGTAGCAAGTTAAATAGGGATAATTTTGCTTCACAAATTTATAAACATAAGGTAGGTTATGATGTAATAGAATTAATAAATCTTGAAATATTTTAATCCTGTAAATATTTGCCTGTAACACTTTGTAGCTAGGTTCTATAAGGCTTTCAAAAGATATAGAAGACATAAAAAGCTACATAGAGCTTACGGTCTAAATGGGGGTATGGAGTGGCAACAAAAACATATGAAAAAAGTGACAAAATTTAGTCAGCATTTTTTCAGGATAGAAAAAAAAAAGATAAAAAAAAAAAAGTGATAAATTATAAGATCCTGCCTCCACGTGCAATAGAAAATGGGGAGATCATTGAGAGCTGAAGGAACTAGAGAAATTTTCTTGAAGGTGGTGGGTTGGGTAGCATGTGGGCAGCCAGATGAAAGAGAAAACATCTTAGACCTGGAAATGGGAGTCATTATGAAAAGATCCTTAAGACTTGGACTATGATATCAAGCATTTCTCTTGTCAGGATTCTGCTCCATTTGAAAGGACTTACATGCTTTTAAAGGACATTTCTTTATGCCCCACACTTACCCTGTCTAGGCTTTTATTTTACAATACCTAACAAGGCACATTAAAGGGCAAAATTCTTTATGACTTTTCTTAGGTTTTTAAATGACTAAGGAACATTCATAATCTCTGCAATACAAATTGTATTTTTCTCCTCTCTTTTTGTTTTTGTGCTCAGGAAAGGAATAAGCCATACATAGATATCTTAAAGTACTTTTGTTATAATAAAACAGATTACAATCTGTTTCCTATAGAATATATTTTAATTTTTAGGTTTTTTTTTCCTATTATAAAATATCTATTCATCCTCAGCGTTATTAGTCACTAGGGAAATGCAAATTGAAACCACTGGGGATAGTACTTTGCTCCCACTTAGGGTGACCAATTACCTCAGATTGCCTGGGATTAAGGAGTTTCCTGTAACACAGAATTTTCATTGCTATATCCTGAAAAGTCCAGGCAAACTGGGGCTAGTTGATCACCCTATACCCACTAGAGTGGCTGAAGTAAAAAAGACAATACCAAGTTTTCTGGAGGATAGGAAAAAACTAGAACCCTCATACATTGCTGAGAGGTGAGGTATAAAATAGTACAGCCACTTTGGAAAACAGTTTGACAGTTTCTTTAAAAATATAAATTTACTATACAATTCAGATATTCCATTCCTAAGTGTCTACCCAAAAGAAATGAAAACAAGGACAGGCTCAGTGTCTCATGCCTATAATACTAGCACTATAGGAGGCCAAGACAGGAGGATTGCTTGGGCTCAGTTCAGACCAGCTTGAGCAAAATCAAGAATCTGTCTCTACTAAAAGAAGAAAAATTAGCTGGGCATCGTGGTGTGCACATGTAGTCCCAGCTACTTGCGAGGGTGAGGCAGGAGGATCGCTTGAGCCCTGGGAGTTGGAGGTTGCAGTGAGCTACAGTGATGCCACCACACTCTAGCCGGGGTGACACAGCAAGACTATGTCTAAAAAAAGAAAACACATATATCTATGCAAAGATGTATAAATCAATGTTTATAGCAGCTTTATGTTTAATAGTCAAAATGTAGTATGTCCATACAATGGAATGTTATTCATGAACAAGAACAAAATACTGATATATGCTACAACATCTATGAACCTCAAGCACATTAAGTTAAAGAAGGCAGACACAGAAGACCACATACTGCATGATTCCATTTATATGAACTATCAGAAAAGGCAAATCTTTAAAGACAAAGTAGATTAGTGGTTACCTTGGGTCTAGGGGCAGGAATAGAGAATGAATGTATAATAGGTGTGAGGGATATTTTTGGCAGGGATGAGAATGTTTCAAAACTGGATTGTGGTGTGATGGTTACACAACCCTATAAGTTAACTTTAAAAAAAATCATTGAATTATACCTTAAAATAGGTGAATTTTATGGTATTATGAGTTATACCTCAAAGGTGCTTTAAAAAAAAACTATTCACTATAGAGAATTTTTTTAAAGCTAAGAAAATAGAAAAGAGAAAGAACAAAAATCCAACAGAGACAATCACTATTAAAACTCTGGTGTATTTCCTTTCAGTATATTTTTATGCAGTTTTCCCCCCACAGTAATTTTGAAGTCAGAATTTTATAAGTGAAAAATTCGTTCAGTGCTATTGAAGGCATGACATGAGGGGATTTCTCAAAACTTTTTTAAAAACAACTGCTTTTAAAGACAAAAAAGGTATTTTGGGCCGGGCGTGGTGGCTCACGCCTGTAATCCTAGCACTTTGGGAGGCCGAGGCGGGCGGATTGCTCAAGGTCAGGAGTTCGAAACCAGCCTGAGCGAGACCCCGTCTCTACCAAAAATAGAAATAAATTAATTGACCAACTAAAAATATATATACAAAAAATTAGCCGGGCATGGTGGCGCATGCCTGTAGTCCCAGCTACTCGGGAGGCTGAGGCAGGAGGATCGCTGAGCCCCGGAGATTGAGGTTGCTGTGAGCCAGGCTGACGCCACGGCACTCACTCTAGCCTGGGCAACAAAGTGAGACTCTGTCTCAAAAAAAAAAAAAAAAAAGGTATTTTCACTCTAAGGTTTCCATCTTGTACACTCCTGACGTTTTGAAATTTAACTGCTGTAATAACTGTGAAGACATATGAATATGGGGATTTTTAGTTTGGTGAGTGACTAGGCTAATAACAAGCCAATTGATCAGCAAAGCCTTGTTCTATACTCATTGTCTCTTGCACTGTTATTCTCATGAAAATATAATTTACTACATTTCATAGGTTATAGTGGTATTCATGAATTTAGGGAGTTGGAAAATCTTGAGTAGCTCTCTATCATGTAGCTCTCTAAAGAAATAAAATACCATCTTAAGAAAATTCTCAATATATGTATTGGGCTTATGAATTTCTCCCCTCTTCCCCAAAGGTAATCACTCTCCTGATTCCTAACACCATAGTTTGTTTTGTAACTTTATAGAAATTGAATCATTTAGTGTGTATTCTTTTTTGTGTCTAGCTGCTTTCACTCCATAATTTGAGATCATTCTATTTATGTTTGTATGTATACTCCAAAGGGCATACATCCAAGCAGACAGTGGCCATTCTCATTTTTTATCTTAGTACTGAAGAAAGGAATAGAATTGAACTTGAGAAAATGAAACTAAGGTGACTAGTTTATGACTTATCCTAAGGGCCACTTCTATGAATCTTCTTGTAAAATTGACTGTTTCTTCCTTAGAGGCCCCACTGTGTCCTGTACCAACATCCATCCCAATACCTGACAACACTTCTTCATACATTGTGATTTTATTTATCTGTCTCCTCCTACTGGCTGTGAACCTCTTGAAGGCAGACCCCATGTCTTAGTAGTAGTATTTGTATCCTTTGTACCTGATATAGTCCCTAGCATAAAGAGGCACTCAGCAAATGTGTAGGATAGAAATAAATAAAATAATAAAATGTGTAAGGTATAAATGAATGTGATAATTGAAAATGTTATTTGTTGACTTACTGTAATACAATATAAATGACATAAAACCATTTTAACCATATTTAAGTGTACAGTTCGGTGGCATTAAGTATATTGACATTTGCATGGAGTTTTAAATAGTGTTGTACAGTACTCAGGGGAGGCCCTACTGATGGTAAGACCAGGAGTAGCACCATTCAGTGGTGAATTTGCCATAGTGCAGTCTGCCCTTCAGGTTTACAAGTCCAAAAACTGAATGTTTTCAGAATAATTAGAGATGACCATTTTGTGAGTGACAGGCTAGAAATTTTAAGATAATGTGAATTAAAATATCAATAGGCAATACCAGTTTATTAATTTATGGTGGAGATATCCGTTTCTAATGATGGATGGTCTCATCCCTGATCCAGGGCATCTACTTTACCAATTTTGACTACCTAAAAAAGCTGAATTCTTTTATCCAGAGAAACCTGATGAACACAAAATTAAAATAAAAACAAGCACATAGGCTTGCTCAGGCCATAAGGTAACCTATTCAGGGGCCAGAATTCTCATATTTTTCTATAATCTGGACACACTGACAAAAATGGTTCTCTAAAACTTTTCTGTGTTAGCCATCCTATTCTCCTATAACATTATTTTTTAGAAGGGTTGATGTAATTGCTCAGGCTAGGTAACTGCCACAAAGTCCTACCGTGTTTCCCCGAAAATAAGACAGGGTCTTATATTTATTTCTCCTCAAGAAGACACCCTAGGGCTTATTTTCAGGGGATGTGTTATTTTCCCCTCAAAGCATCAGCTTGCAGCACACACAGGATGGCCAGGACCTGACAGGGGAGCCAACCTTGTTGGTGGGGCTGCCCGCACCTTTCCAGTCACCTCTGGGATAGTAGCTGTCACGATGGGGCAGATGAGAAGGGCTGCTCATCTTTTCACTGCTCCGCGACAAAATGCATGGGTTGTGCAGATACGCTGCATAGCCATGCCCATCACTAGGTCTTATTTTCGGAGAAGGGCTTCTATTGCGCAAATGCTTAGAAATCCTGCTAGGGCTTATTTTGTGGGTAGGTCTTATTTTCAGGGAAACACAGGTATGTCTTCCCCTCGTTGTGTCATTTGAATTGTTTAACTCATCTGGCAGGCCCTTATTCCCTTCTCTCCAAGGAAATAGGTTTTGAAGGGCTCTAAAGGAGGAGAGGGAGTATGGAAGAATGGGACAAGAGTGAAGAGGATGTGTATCTCTCACTGTTGCCCCAGTGTTTTGCCTTTATGGTCAAGTTTCTAATTGTAATCTAGTAAAGAAAAAAAATTTTTTTTTTGAGACAGAGTCTCACTTTGTTGCCCAGGCTAGAGTGAGTGCCATAGCATCAGCCTCGCTCACAGCAACCTCAAACTCCTGGGCTCAAGCGATCCTACTGCCTCAGCCTCCCAAGTAGCTGGGACTACAGGCATGTGTCACCATGCCTGGCTAATTTTTCCATATATATATTGGTTAGCCAATTAATTTCTTTCTATTTATAGTAGAGACGGGGTTTCGCTCTTGCTCAGGCTGGTTTCGAACTCCTGACCTCGAGCAATCTGCGTGCCGTGGCCTCCCAAAGTGCTAGGATTACAGATGTGAGCCACCACACCCAGCCAGAAATTTTTTTTAGAAAATGATTATCACTGATTGTTCCTCTGAACTGTCAATATTTCTATGAGCCTAAATTTAAGTTTTACGGATTTGAGCATGTGATTTTTGGTTCATAGGAAAGTTGAGATTTAGTCTTAAATGCATGTAAAAGTAACCTTAAATACTAAAAATTGGATTTTTAGTCTTAATATTTACATCTTGGATTTGGTTTTAAGTAATTTTACTATGTTTTAAATACTAACAGATTGCTCTCAAGGAAGTGGTATTTTACATTATGCTCATGGCGACAGTCAGCAGACTCACCTATTGAAGCAAGGTAAGAATGAAACATTTGGGCATACTGTTGTCACTTTTCCTATCTCATACTTTTTTTTATTTGTTTTTGGAGACAAGTCTCGCTCTGTTGCCCAGGCTAGAGTGCAGTGGCTTAATCATAGCTCACCACAACCTCAAGCTCCTGGGCTCAGGCGATCCTACCGTCTCAGCCTCTCAGAGTGCTAGAATTACAGGCATGAGCCACAGTGCTTGGCCTTAAATGTACATTTTTAAATGTGTAGGAAGAAGCTCCATGGGCACTGGTTTCAGCGGTGGGAAACGCCCTAGTCAGGAAGAGGACACGCAGAGTATTGGTTCTAAAGTCCAGAGGCAGAGCACAAATTAGGTAAATATTTTAGAGCTTTATTTCCTGTTTTAGTAGAGTGTTTAATTAACATAAATTAAGATAATTTCCAAAATGGAACTCATCTCTATTTTCAAACCAGAGAATCTTGAGGCATAAATTTGTAAGCAATTGTTACAGAATCAGTCAATTTTTGGACAAAAACAGTGCATGTGTACTGGACAAATTGCTGCACCTAGTTTTATGGTCTGATTTGATGCTCTTTAAATCTGAAAAACTTAAGATTGTATGGTCAAGTTTTTCATTTCTTTACTATGTGATCATGAGTCTAAAACAAGTGGTCCTTTTTATTTTAGTGGCATTAATACAATCTTTTTATGAACTTCCCCCAAACCTTTGCCTCTTAAATGTTTATGAATTTCTTTTATCTGTTGTGATGCTTCTGAACTCTAAATTCTTTCCAGTCTGGAGTAGTTTAAATTTTTTAAAAAGCTTGGCTTTTTAAAGAAGTATCAAAAAGCCATGCCTGCATTCAGTTTAACTGGATTTAGGATACTGTTTTATCATTAAATTAATATAAAACATATTTATGTGGTGTATTTACCAGTTTTTAAAAACTTTTTGTTTCTTCAGTTATCTTAAACTGTTTACATTTTTATCACTTAGTTTTTTATGCCAATCTAATTAGACTATAGATATGTTGAAGATCAATAAACATTCATCAAATCTTTATCATTTAATTCTTTGCAATCAAGCTTTACTCAGTTTTTTTTCCCTTAAATCACAGAAAACATTCAGGAGGAATACTGTTGCAGCTGAAATTGGTGGGGAGTTCAATACTTTTCAATTAAATTATTTTAAAATGTTCTTCATTGATGGAAAGCAGTTACATTTTGAAATGCATTGTTTCTAATGACATTTCTGTGGTTTTTAACTTTTTAATGAATTTCACATAGGACAAATGGTAATTTGTATATAAAGAACTTGGTAAAAGAATTTGCTTAATGTAAATATAAATAGTTACAATTAGTATAGACCCATCAATATATTTTTGATAATTTTTCATGTATGGTAAAATGTTAAAGTTAACAAAATGATATTCTGATATAAAACTCAAAAGTTTTGAGAGTCAATATGGGAAAACAGGAGGTTTTTAGACTTTCTTAAGAGACTTTGTTAAAATTTTAGGGCAAAATTTTCTTGATGTTGTTTGATCTAACTTTGTACTCTTTGATAATAATGTTTTAGAAAATGTGCATAATCAAAATTGGTAGTTGTAGCCTCTGTTAACACAGATAATGTATGTTTTAAATCTTTATGTACACCAGTTTTGACTCAAACTTATAGAAGATCATGTGTTAAGTTCTCCTTGTCTCCCTTTCTTTGTTCATTTACAGTTAAAGTGACCTTGTTATTAAAGTATATACAAATATGAAATCTTGTTTAATTTGTGTTGTTTTTTTTCTTTTTTGATTTTGGTAAGGAGACCATCGCTGTCTGAGGTATGATTACAAATTATAGAGAAAGATTCTGTAAATTCTGTAAACCACATATCATCATTTTGAATGAAGGGACAGCTACCATATATTTAGTAAAACAGTAGTTTTCAAAATTATCTGCAAGAAAGATTTAAAACCAAAGGAAATTTTTCATGTAATGGCACTCGTAACTATGAGTTAGGCAGTATGGGATAACAGGGAAGAGTGTGGGCTCTGGAATCAAATGCCTGGGTCTGGCACTCATTAGGTTTGCGATCTTGGGCAAGTTCTTAACTTCCTTTATGCCTTCTATTTTCTCATCTATAAAATGGGGATGGGCATAGTATCTATCTGTTCCACAGTCCAGTTCCTTGTAAAATGCTCATATCGGTGCCTGGCATGTGATAGGATAGTCAATAAATGTTAGCTACAGGGCTGCCATGGTGCATTGCTCCCTGGAGTGTACAGTGCACAATCTGCATAGCTGTAAGCCGCAGCTCTGATTAATAGTCATTATTGTTCATACTATTGTTATTATTCCTTTACAGTTTTCTAGTTAGCCTAGTTCTTGCCACTCTGAATTATAACCAGTGGCTTTTCACTTTCTCATCTTCAATAGTGGTAGATATTCAATATGCTAATTCTATTGAAAGGTAACCAAAGATAAATTTGAGGCAAAAATGCAGAAATAATAACATATTTTAGATGACATACATTTTAAAAATAGCCTGGATAATGAATCAGCAATGATCAATAAATTCCATTACTGAGAAAAAGAAGGAAAAAAAGCCTGTGCCTTATCATTTTTTTCAGCACTGTTAAAAAGGAGTAATATTTTAATTGTTTTTCATGATACCTGTACTTCACATCCTGCTTTTTGTCCTCATTGTATTGTATAGAGGTGAGAAATTCATAGATCTGAGATTTACCATCTCCATCCCAGTGGGCAAAGATTCCATTTTAATGCAAATAAATAAGCACTGCTGAAAAAGTACATTCTAGATTCTTTCAGTATATGCACTAGTAGATTACTTGTAAATGTAGAAGGATTTTTTTTTTCAGGTGTTTTTTAGAATGCTTTTTCAGTTTGGTCTAAATTATGGTCAAAACGAATCACTGAAAGGGAAATGGAGGTATCAATGTGCTCCCCTTCAGCAGATGCACTAAGTTTGAATACAATATTCTTCCCCTTACTAGAAAGGTTAATGTTCTAGAAATTCTACCCGTGGTTGAGGGATTTAAGACTTTTTATTCATTCAACAAATACTTACTGAATTCTTACTACCAAAAACTGCTAACAACTTGGAAAAATGGAATTGAGGGACCCAAGCTTTTGAATGAACCTACACAAAGTCCTTAGGTTTTTTACATTTTCTTAAAATAAATTAGTGAATCTGAGATATAAAAGAGATACTTCTACCTTTTTTCTTATGGGGTAAGTGACATTTTCTCAGGGGTAAAGCGACTAGAACTCCAAGTTTCCTAAAATGCCGGGAAGAAGGTGTGAAAATGCTAGCTACAACCATTGTTGCCATTGGGCACAGCACAAGGTTCCCTGGGAAGCCGGTTCCCACGCTGGCCCGCCTCTTCTGCCCCGCCCCTGCGTCTCAGGGAGGCCACGCAGCCTGTGTCCTGTGCTCTGGCTGGCTGTGTTTGGGGTCGCGGGATGTGTCCACAGCCCGCTGGCCTCCCGATTGGCTATGGGCGAAGGGGCAGGTGGACTGGTCGGCACTTCTGGGGGAAGTCGCTATCCGGTTGGGGCCCAGGCCCCTGGCCTCTGGCTTTGGGAAGACAGCGGACCTTGAAGATACTGGCCCGAGAGGGAGAGAGGAAGGAACCAGGGCCCCTGGACTCCTTGTGCCTTGCTTGGAGCGGACACCGGCAGGTGAGTCACCCCTTCCTCTGCTCCTGGAAGTGATCCTCACACCAACAACACAGCAGTGGGGTCGGGACCCGCCCATAGGGAAACTCGGTACCCCGCCAGACCCTCAACACCGCCTGCCTGTTATGGGCAGACACCTCTGGGCGCCACTGGTGGAAAGTTTCTTCAAAAAAGCAAAGGTCTGGCCGGGCACGGTAGCTCATGCCTGTAATCCTAGCTCTCTGGGAGGCTGAGGCGGGCGGATCCTTTGAGCTCAGGAGTTCAAATCCAGCCTGAGCAAGAGCGAGACCATCTCTACTATAAATAGAAAGAAATTAATTGGCCAACTAATATATATAGAAAAAAATTAGCCCGGCATGGTGACGCATGCCTGTAGTCCCAGCTACTCGGGAGGCTGAGGCAGCAGGATCACTTGAGCCCAGGAGATTGAGGTTGCTGTGAGCTAGGCTGACGCCACGGCACTCACTCTAGCCTGGGCAACAAAGCGAGACTCTGTCTCAAAAAAAAAAAAAAAAAAAAAAAGGTCCCCAGGGAGATTGGCCTCTATCAAAAAACCCCAAAACAACAAATGCTGGCAAGGATGTGGAGAGACAGGAACACTCTTACACTGCTGGTGGGACTGCAAATTAGTGAAACCTCTGTGGAAAAGAATTTGGAGATACCTGAAAGAGCTAAAAATAGAAATACCATTCCATTTAAGAGTAGCGCTATTAGGGGTCTACCCAAAAGAGCAAAAGATATTATATAATAAAGACATCTACACCCGAATGTTTATGGCAGCACAATCCACCATTGCAAGGATGTGGAAACAACCCAAGTGCTCGTCAATTCATGAGTGGATTATTAAAATTTGGTATATGTATACAATTCAATATTACTCAATTATAAGATACGACAGTGATCTAGCACCTCTTATATTTTCCTGGATAGAGCTCTAGCCCATTATCCGAAGTGAGGTGTCACAAGATTAGAAGAATAGGCTCCACTTGTACTCACCATTGGCACTAACTGATTAACACTATGGTGCTTGCTTACTGGTAGTAATTATTCTCCAGGGATTAGGGGGGTTGTGTGGGGTAAACTCACAACTAATGCACGTGTTGAGCCATTTTAGAGGGAAAGGGCATGCCTCTAACCCTCGCTTGGGTGAGGCAAAGACATAAAATGTAACCAAAATGTTTGTACCCTCAAATATCCTGAAATAAAAATTAAAAAAAATAAAAAATAAAAACCATGGCAAACAAAGGCAGAGGTCCCACTTGTTACTGTGTGACCTTTTTTTTTTTTTGAGACAGAGTCTCACTTTGTTGCCCAGGCTAGAGTGAGTGCCGTGGCATCAGCCAGGCTCACAGCAACCTCAAACTCCTGGGCTCAAGCCATCCTTCTGCCTCAGTCTCCCGAGTAGCTGGGACTACAGGCATGCGCCACCATGCCCGGCTAATTTTTTCTATATATATTAGTTGGCCAATTAATTTCTTTCTATTTATAGTAGAGACGGGGTCTCGGTGTTGCTCAGGTTGGTTTCGAACTCCTGAGCTCAAAGGATTCGCCCGCCTCAGCCTCCCAGAGAGCTAGGATTACAGGCGTGAGCCACCGCGCCCGGCCACTGTGTGACCTTTTGATCAGTTCCAGAGCTCTTCCTTGGCCCCTCATTTTCCCTTGCTTAAAAACATTGGAATTAATTTGAAACTGTCAACAGATCATATTTGTTATAAAACTACTAAGTATAAAAAGTGTGCTTATTACAGAAGTGAATTTCATTCCTAAAAATGCTTAAGAAACATGAAACATCAGAGAAAGGCACACTGTGATTTAACAAGCATTTATTAAGAATGTTACTATATGTAGGGCACAGGGCTAAGAGCAGGACTCTGGAGTCAAGCCATTGGGTTTTAATCCAGACTCTGTTGTTTAGTAGCTGAGTAACCTCGGGCAAGCTACTTTACCTGCATCTGTTTCCTCATTTTTAAAATGAGTTGTTGTGATGATTTAATGAGTTAGTATATGTGAAGAGTTTCTTAATATTCGAAGTGATTTATGGTATTAACTAATTTAATCTTCACAATCACCCAGGAAATACTGTCCCCATTTTCCTGATGCCCAAACTGAGGCAAGGAGAGGTGAAGTAACTTCCTCAGTCACAACACAAGTATTGACCAGGAATTAAGCCCAGGCAGTCTGGCTCCAAGAGCCCACAATTGCAGCCACTACATTAAGTTACCTCGTGAACTTGGTTTGTTCCTTCAGTTTCAGTTGGCAAATACTGATTTTGTTACTCTGTGGGCCAAGTTCTTTGCTGAGTACAGAGGATAAAGCAGAACAGCATTCAGTTCCTGCCCTCCTAATGATTGTCATTCTAGTACATGTTGTTCATGGCTAGGCTGCAGGATGTCCACAGATCCTGCTAAAATCATTTGCAAAATGTTGTGGGCATGTGTCTTTCTGGAAAGAGTCTGTGGCTCTCAGGGTCTCAGATGGTCTGTTATATGAAGAAAGGTATGAAGAAATGTAGTTTTGGCAGAAGAGCTAATGCCTAGCATGATGCCAGACACACAGCTTGAGTTTAAAAAAAAAAAAAAAAGATCCTTGCTGGTTGAGTGAATGAAGAACTTATAAGAGTATGATAAGTGCCACAGTAGGGTCAAGAGCAGGGTGCTGTGGAAGAGCACACAGAAAGGTCAACAGTTATGCCAGCTGAGTGAAGGATAGGGAAGCAATTCACTGGAACACTGGTGAACTGTCTCTGTCCTTGTGGAGCATTGAGACAGAAACAACACATGAATAGCTGCAGCTGTTGTACCACTTGTGCATGACAAATGTAGCAGTCCATGGTGCCATGAAAGCCTATAATGTCCAGGAGGTTTCATTTATTCATGAAGGCAAGAGACGTTTCCTTGAGAAAGTGACAGTTAGACATGAGAGTTAGGGGCATTTGGGGCATGGAGAATAGCCCTGTCTTCAAAGACCATGTGGTGTAGGAACTGGTAGAACACCAGGGACTGAAAGGAAGTGGATGCAGCTGGTGTAGCAGAGGGAGATTGGGTTTAGGGAGTTAGTGGCAGAGCCCAAAGAGGCCTTGTAGGCCATGGTAAGGCATTTTTATGTTTTGTTTTATTTTGTTTTTATCCTAAAATGCCATTGAAAAGTTTATTGCAGGGCAATGTACAAGATCACATTTGAGAAGAAGCTGGAGAGAATCCCAAGTGTGTTAACTGAGGCCCTGAACAAAGACAAGATTTCTGGAGAGAGATTGTAAGGTAAGAAGACCTGCAGGGCAGACAGATAAAGGGTGGTACAGGAAGGAAGGAGGAGAACCAGGAGAGTAGAGTGTCCTTGAAGTCGAATGAGAGAATTTCAAGGAGCAAGTGGTCAACTGTACTGAAAGCTACAGAGGTGAAAGGAGATAGGAACTAAAACTACTCATTGGCTCTAACCACATGGAAATTATCTTTGTTGGGAGCTATATAAGTAGGAGAAGAAGAAATGGAGAGAATGCCTGAGAAAGAAGAGCTTAGAGTTCTCAGGCCAGGGTGGTTGGGCTCAGTACAGGAGCAGGGATTACCCTGGATAATGAAAGGTATAACTGTAGGGAAGGGGAGATAGTGGTAGGTATGTTGGTGTGATGAGTTGCTCTCCTTTCTTTGTACAGATGAGAGGCAAAGGCATTGATTGAGAGTTAAGGAGGGAACAAGGGGGCATGGGGAAGGCTGGAGGTGAGTTGAGAAGATTTGAGAGTGGGAGGTGTGAAAGAGTGAGTTGACCAGGGCTTGTTTGAGGATGGTCTGGCAGAGAAAGCCAAGTATGCAGCAAAGACCAGAAATGAGCCTCCTGGCCCTTTCAGGGAATTGCAAAATAGGGGGATGAGGGATAGAAGCTAGCTGGAGACAAAAGCTACATTTCATATATGGTAAAAGAAGCATCCTAGATCATGGGGAAGGAAAGGATTGTTCAAAAAATGGTACTCTGTGATAACTGTTGATAAAATCTGTTTAGATTTTCAGCTCACACCTAGAAATTTCAAATTAAAAGAGCTTACTTTTAAAATTCAAACAAAAATATGGATGAATATTTGCTAATCATTTAGTGCTTAAAAGCAATAGGAATCATAAAGAGAAACTTCCCTGAACTTCCTTTAACCACTTAAAATTAACCACTTTGTTCTGACACATGCTATAATATGGATTAGCTTTAAAACATTATGCTAAGTGAAATATGCCAGACACAAAGTATGATTCCACTTATATATGAAGTACCCAGAATAGGCAACTTCACAGAGACAGAAAGTAGAACAGAGGTAACTGGTGGCTGGAGGGAAGAGGGAATGGAGAGTTATTGTTTAACGGGTATATGATTTGTGTTTGGAATGATGAAAAGTTCTGGAAACAGTGGTAAAGGTTGTACAACATTGTGGATTTATTCAGTGCCATGGAATTGTACACTTGAAAATGGTTTAAATGGTAAGTTTTTTGTTATTTATATCTTACCACAGTTTTTTAAAAGTGACTTCTTTGGTATGCTAAAATATGCCATCAACAACTGAAAATGAACTGAAAATATTTCCAAAAATGAGAAGATTATATTTCTTAATCTATAAAGAATTTAAACAAGTCAGTTTTTTAAAAGCTGAAAGATTGCAGTTTAAAAAGGCAAAAGGTGAGAATAGCTGATTCAGAAAAGGAAGTAAAGATGGTCAAGATAATTTATTAATAAGAGCTCAGCCTCAGGAATAATAAAGTAAAATAAATTAGTGTTGTATCATTTTCACATATCAAAATGAAAACTAATGAATCACCCATACTCCTTGTGAGAACGTCATTGAGACAGTTTTTCTTGACATTAAATTTAGCAACTTGGCTTTTCAAATGTTCACACATTTTATCTTCAGGAATTCTATGTCTAGGAATTCATCCTAAAGGAAAAACACGAAATGTGGACAAATATTCAGCATACAGGAATGAATTATAAAATTATAATATATCCACCCTATATACCAACATTTTAAGTGTTTACAGGGCATATTTAATGCCATAGATACTTTGTGTTTAAAATAAAAGCAGCAAATAAATTGTATATATAAAGTACATTCATTATGTAGAAGTCAAAACATTGTATAAGCTTTTCACTTTTACAGTCAACTGTATTTGCTCATCAGAGAGACAGCAAGACAGATTTTAATTATTCAGACAACTCACCTGAACACATCATAGTTCACCTTGGAGTAAGCAGGAAATGGGAGACAGCCTGTTTTCCTCTTAGCCTTATTGGGTAGGAGCCTATCTGTCAGTGGGAGTTCCTTGCTATGGTCAATGTATTTCTAATGTTTAATGATTTGTCATTTTCTTTAACTCCCAGACCAAGCCAACTACTTCATCTGGTGCTTATCCAGACAACAGGATCTGTTCCAACCCTTGAGGAACTCCTGGCTATGTTGGACTTGCTGGGATACAGTGTGTTAGTCTCCTGTGTGGTGCCTGCTTAAGAGATTTTAAAGGAAAATTCTTAGTTTTTATAATTTTCACTTTATAGGCTGAATTCAGAACCATGTGCAAGGCAGCCTTGCTTTATGTATTCTTTATGTCAAAATATAAATTGTGTGTAGGTAGTGGGATTGTGAAAATCTTTTTCTGCTTCCTTATACTTTTCAGAATTTGGCAACTTCTCTCCCTGGTGGTCTAGTGGTTAGGATTTGGCGCTCTCTCAGAATTTGGCAACTTCTCTGTAATGACTGTGTTGCTTTTATAAGCAGTTATTTTGAAAAACAGAAACATTTGAGATACATTTTTTACTTTTTAGTTACTCTTTGTAAATATTCTTCTGTCTAAAATATAATATAAAGTCATATTACTATAAGACTTTTAGCTCTAGAAATTTCCTAGTAATGCCTACCATTTATTGAGTACCACCTATGTACCAGGCACTGTGCAAAGTACTTGACATGCATTTGAACCCTCACCTATAAGGGTTAGATGCTATTCTCTCCATTTTACAGATAGCTGCTATTATTATTAATGCTCATTGAACATTTACGGTGAGGCACTGTTCTAATCACTGTTACCTTCTTTTTCTGAGGCTAGCCAACTGACCCGAGATTGCCCTGTCAGTTAAAGCCAGGACTTTAGGCAGTTTGACTGCAGAGCCCACATTCTTCCCCAGCATGTAGTATAGACATGGGACCTGAGTTTGGAGATGTCGCACAGTGAGTGGGGAGTGGATTCCCAGCCTAGATCTGCCTGAGCTTCATCATTATGCTGTACCTCCTCCTCCCTGTTAAAACTGATGGTTGGCCCAGACATTTTAAAAAATCTTTAAGCCAGGCATGGTGGCTCACGTCTGTAGTCCCAGCTACTCAGGAGGCTAAGGCAGGAGGATCTCTTGAGTCCAGGAGTTCAAGGCTGCAGTAATCTATGATTGTACCACTGCATTCCAGCTTGGGTGACAGAGCGAGACCCTGTCTCTTAAAATAAAATAAAGTTTTTTTTTTGAGACACACTCTCACTCTGTTGCCCGGGCCAGAGTGCCATGGCATCAGCCTAGTTCACAGCAACCTCAGACTGCTGGGCTCAGGCGATCCTCCTGCCTCAGCCTCCCGAGTAGCTGGGACTACAGGCATGCACCACCATGCCCAGCTAATTTTTTCTATATATTTTTAATGGCCAATTAATTTCTTTCTATTTTTAGTAGAGACGGGGTCTTGCTATTGCTCAGGCTGGTTTCAAACTCCCGACCTTGAGCAATCCTCCCACCTCGGCCTCCCAGAGTGCTAGGATTACAGGCGTGAGGAAAAAGTAAAGTTTTTAATACTTTAATATTTTCATCTTAGCTAATGATATTAGGAATTATCTGACGAAAACTCCAGTTGAATCACTGTTAAAACAGAAGCTGTGCCTACAATATTTTAGTCTCACTAAGCACTAAAAATGAGCTATCGTCACAAATGGTAAACCAAAATGGGGGTGGTGTTCTTTACTTTTCCTAATAGAATAATCATTTATTTGGATTAATTAGGCCTGAAAGTGAAGAGTCCTCCACATACATGGCAGGAGATTTATCAGAGGCAGAGATTGGACATGGCTTTTCTTTCAAATCCACAAAGAATAAGGGAAAGCTAGCCAAGTAGCCCAGTACTACACTTTTGTGGCAGGGCCAAGGTTCTTAGGAACACTGCAGGGTACTAAAAGTTCAACGAACAAACTAGGTGTGTTTTCATTACCAGAGACAAAAAAAATATAGGTGAAGGAGTTAAAAGTATACCACTGTGACATACTGACTATTTTGAATTAAAGGCACTTGAAAAACAGTAGGTGTAAGATCATTCTAACCTTTCTGTTTCTTAAAAGCAGGAGATGAAATTTTCATGTGAAAGACATCTTCCCTACACCAAAAGGATTAACATCCTTATCCTCAAGGACTAGAAGTCAAGACTGCAAGAATTCTGTGTAGACCTTGTTAAAATAATTTCTTTTGAGCCTCACCCACATAGTTTTGTTGCCTCTTCACAACTTACTATTCTTTGTCCATTTTAGCATATGAGTAACTGACTCTAACTGCTTGTTTGGGTCTTTATTTCCTTATGAAGGCTCACATGCCACATAAATTTTATTAAATAACTTGTATGCTTTACTCCTGTTAATCTATCTTATTCAATTTAATTCTCAGGCCCAGCTGGGACCTTAAAAGAACAGAGGTTGAGTTTTACTGCCCCTACAGTGTTGAAGGCTATACTGCATCAGACACAGTATAGCCATCTCACAATACCTAGAGATGTCAAGTGGGGATATCTGGTTAGACTATTTTATAAGTATGGGCACCATTCCACAACTGACCTGATTTTCCATGACTCCATTGGAGCAAGTCACATGGGATTTTACCTGGCTAAGACTGATTTTAATTCTGGATTTATAAAAAGGAGTTCCATTCACATAATTCTTTAAAAAAATACATTCTCTCTCTCTCTCTCTCTCTCTCTCTCAAAATAGCTGGCCCATTTTGGGTGATAGTTACTCAGTAAAAAATATTTACTCTAAAATATAAAATTAGACCTGGCATGGTGGCTCATGCCCATAATCCCAGCATTTTGGAAGGTCCAGGTGGGAGGATCACTTGAGGCCAAGAGTTCAAGACCAGCCTGAGCGACATGGTAAAACCCAATCTTTACAAAAAATTTAAAAATTAGGCTGGGCTCGGTGGCTCACGCCTGTAATCCTAGCACTCTGGGAGGCTGAGGTGGGAGGATCACTCAAGGTCAGGAGTTCAAAACCAGCCTGAGCAAGAGTGAGACCCCGTCTCTTCTAAAAATAGAAAGAAATTAATTGGCCAACTAAAAATATATAGAAAAAATTAGCCGGGCATAGTGGCACGTGCCTGTAGTCCCAGCTACTCGGGAGACTGAGGTAGTAGGATCGCTTAAGCCCAGGAGTTTGAGGTTGCTGTGAGCTGGGCTGACGCCACAGCACTCTACCTGAGCAACAAAGTGAGACTCTGTGTCAAAAAAAAAAAATTAATCGGATGGGGTGGTACATGCCTGTAGTCTTAGCCACTGAGGAGCCTGAGGCAGGAGGATCACTTAAGCTCAGGAGTTTGAAGCTGCAGTGTACCTGATGACAGACACCACTGCACTCTAGTCTGGGCAACAAAGTGAAACCCCATCTCAAAAAAATAAAATAAATAATATAAAATTAGAGATGACTCCCCTGCCCTTTTCTTAATAAGTACCTGCTTCATCTAAACAACTTGAAAATGTAAAACATTTCAAAAAACTGTGTTTGTGTATGTATACATATGTCTCCTTAAAGGAAACGACAATTGTAGGAAAATGAATTTGTATCAAAATGACATTCAAGTCTGTGAAGCACTGAACTCTTGTAAAATGGAAGTAAGTACTTCACAAGGTTGTTGTAAAGCTCAGACAGACAATGTATTTATAAAGTATAAGATGTCTAAGTCATGAAGTGTATTACAATTAAACTATTTAAGAGGACATTTTTAATATTCCATGAGTAGTTTTCCTATCTAAGTCCATTTTATTTCCATACTTAAAAAGCTCAGAGTTTAAGTGTATGTGTTGTAAAGTCAACACCCTTACTTATTAAATGCCTTTATTTTCTTTCTTACAATGAGTACATTTTGAGTCCAGGACAGTGTTAGCCAGTTGGATTGCAGGCATATTGTGGAAGTTGCTGATGAGATCCCAGCCCTGCAGGCTGTGTTCTTTCAGAAAGATGTGATCAACTCCAAATTACAGACCTTTTTTAGCATACTTCACCTATACAACTGATAGTCAAAGAAAAAGAACAGTGGAAAAGCTTTAGAAATTTTCAGTTGACATTAGGAAAATTCGTAGATTAAAAGGATGGGTACTTTTAGTGGATGAAAATCTTATGTTGAAGAAATCGCAAATATTTTACAATAACTAGGTGCTGATGAGACTGCTGTAGCCAGTATTTTGGAACGCTATCTGGAAACAATTGTTTGTAGTCCAACTGCTGTTAACACCCAGAGAAAACTCTGGCAGTTGGTCTGCAAAAAACGAGCAAGAGTTAATCAAGTTAATAGAAAAGTTTCCAGAATCTTTGTTTCCTGTTAAAGACCTGTTAGCTTCAAACTTCAAAACTCCTTTTTGATCCATTTCAGATTTGCTAGCTGTCCATTCTTTACTCTTGTGGTCCCCAATCCCCAGCCTATTAGGGGCCGGTTTCATGGAAGACAATTTTTCCATGGACAGTGGGGGGAGATGGAGCTCAGGTGGTGATGTGAGCAATGGGAAGCAGCTGTAAATAGATGAAATTTCGCTGGCTTGCCCACTGCTCACCTCCTCCTGTGGACCCCCTTCTCCCCTAAGTTTCATGGAAGACAGTTTTTCCACGGACAGGAGTGGGGGGGGGCAGCAGAGCTCTGTGACCCGTCACTAACAGGCTGTGGACTGGGAATTGGGGACCACAAGAGTAAAGGATGGACATCTAGCAAATCTAAAATGGATCAAAAAAGGAATTTTTGAGTTTGAAGCTAACTTTGGTAAAATTCAAGCCAAAAAAGGAAAGCCATTACTTAACCCTGTGGCACCATTACATGTTGAAGAGTGACTTACTTACTAATATCCTTTCTAGGAGAGCACAGTGAAACTGGCTAACAAAGACTTATTGAATTCAGGCAGTTTATAGGCACCAGTAAAAATTTTAAGGACCTGCTTACCTTCTGAGTTATGTTTGTTACCTCCAAAAAGATAATCTGACTCATTTGCTGTATTTTAAAATATAAATTGCATTTCTTTTAAATAAAATTGGTAACTTTGACCTTAAACTATTTCAAAAACTTATGTACTATTAAATGGCACATCAGTATGATATTTTATAAGTGAATCATTTCTAAGAAACTGACAAGTACTCCCTTAATTCAAAGTAAGGATACATTTTTATTCATATAGGACATTTCATCCAGGATACAAATCCAGTTTTCCTCACTGCCATCCCTGAAACATCACTCTGTGTTCTGAATTCTGTAGCTTTGTGTTAAGTGAAATACTAGCAAACTTCTATCCTTTTTTTTTTTTTAGAGAAAACTAATTTGTTTTGTATTTGGAATAAATGAGTACCTTTGAGAACCAAGTATTACTTGTCCAAAAATAATAGAGTCTATTTGTGTGGTCAGTTTGTTTAAAATTGACCGTTATATCTCTCATGAAATATTTACATGCATTCATTACTTTCCTCATTTTACAGAAGAGGAAACTGAAGTGTGGAGAGGCCATTTAGTTGGTAAATAGCAGAGCCCAGATTTATTAAGATCCGACTTCTGTTCAAACTTTGTGAATAGAAAGGATAACTTATGAGTTGGCATAAAAGAAGTCACCCCCTACCTGACATGCCAAAAGAAATTAGTACTAACAAGTTTGGGGACTTTTATGCAAACTTCTCTAAAATTTCTTAACTTAGAAATTACTTAATTTATATACATTTGCAAGAAATGCAGCTTTTCAGAAAGCTTTCTGAAAATCTAGGTCTGCCTGTGAGGGAAAGTGTGTGATGGTTGGTACTAATATTAAGGGTGGTGTTTCAAGTTTCCATTTTTCAATCTAAAATAAATATTGTCTAGATACAGACTGGCTCACTTTCAGCTGTTAAGTTTCAACTTTGTAACAAATACACAACCAAACAATTGACTTTGATGCTGAACATCTGTATACTACTTATACATGGCCTTCTGAGTATACTGAAAAGATTATGAAAAATGCAAATAGCATCCTCACTCTTTATCTATACATTCAGCAAGTGCAAGTAACTCTCATTATCCAAATCTGTTCAATTCCTTAGTTAAGATAGTGAGAGACAGCTCTGTGTACAATGCTTCACAATCCTGAGAGTCAAGTACCATTGTTTACTGTTCTACAGATGAGGAGACTCAAGATAAGTCACGTACCCAAGGTCACATGGGAATGTTTGTTCAAGAAAAAAGAAGAGCAGCCAGTACCACTGGAGCAGGGTTATGGGGAGAGTGGCATGAGAGGAGATGAGCAGCACAGGTCCATATAAGGAGCAGAATCTCATTCTAAGTGTTGATGGGAAACCCTTGGAGAGTTTTTAGTTTATGTTTCTAACCCTTATACAAGTATCAGTGCATGGTCTGTCTGTTTGGAATATATTATATGGTTACCTTGGTAGTTGTCAATTTGAGATGCCTACTAGACATCCTAGCAGGGAAATGGCTAAATCCTGAGTTGTGAGAAATCAGGACTGAAAGTAGCATTGGGGGCTCATCTGCATATCTATGATAACCTAAAGCCTTGGCTCTAAATCCATGAAACTGACTGGGGAAAAGGTGTAGATTTGGAGTAGGGTGGCTGGCCAACCCTGGAAAAGGTTGGTCACTGCAGAGCTGGTCAGAGAAAGGGGAGATCTGGTCAATAACAATGAATCCCACTGAAGGGTTAACTAAGATACTGAGATGTGACCAATGGATTTGGCAAAAAGGAAATCATTGGTTTACCCTATCCAGAGTGATTCTGGTGCAATGAGGAGGTTGAGAAGGCCAACTGGAGAGGGTTTGAAAAGTAAATGGGAGATTAGGAATAAGCAGCAACTATAAGGATTTTCAAGAAATTTTGCAGCAAAGGGAATCAGAAAAATGGAGGTTGGTGAGATTGAGTAATTTTTGTTTAAAGAACATATTTATACACTCATGGGTTTGACCCAGAAGAGACAAATAAGAGATGGAAAACTGTAGGATTAATATCTTGAGGAAGTGAAGGTGAGTTGACTTTGGATAAAAGTCGAGATATTGGTGCTCATCCACAGAGTATGAGAACTGATGCAGGCAGGTTGACGGAGCAGGTGTTGTGAGAGGCAGGGGCGTTGCTGCTGGTTGCCTCTTTACAGTAGAGGACAGTAGAAAAGGAGAGAGGAAAAATGTAGGAGAGTTGGAAAAGAGATATGAAATAGTCATTTTGAGGAGTAGAAAGTGAACATACAACAAAAGCGTATATAAGAAAGGTCAGCCGGGCGCGGTGGCTCACGCCTGTAATCCTAGCTCTCTGGGAGGCCGAGGCGGGCGGATTGCTCGAGGTCAGGAGTTGAACCAGCCTGAGCAAGAGCGAGACCCGTCTCCACTTATAAATAGAAAGAAATTAATTGGCCAACTAATATATATACAAAAAATTAGCTGGGCATGGTGGTGCATGCCTGTAGTCCCAGCTACTTGGAGGCTGAGGCAGGAGGATTGCTTGAGCCAGGAGTTTGAGGTTGCTGTGAGCTAGGCTGACGCCACGGCACTCACTCTAGACTGGGCAACAAAGCGAGACTCTGTCTCAAAAAAAAAAAAGAAAGTTCAGTAGAGTTGAACAGCCATGTGTGCTTTGTGGCCATTAATTTAACCACTTCGGTACGAGCGTCAACTATAGTTGATAGCCACAGATGAATGCGCACAGCCAAGCGTTGACTATAGCCTACAATTTTGAATTGACTTTTCTAATTTTTCATTTATCAAAATAAAATTGTGAACATTTAAAAATAACATAATGAAAACATATATGTATATGTTACCTATTCTGGTTTACATTACAAGCAAAGCTGCCTGTAAAGTAAAACAAGCTTTCAGTGCTTTAAAGCTTTCCTCATCACTCAAGAGCAAAACGGATTCATCATCAATGCACAGCACAAACTATCGTGCGGACTGTGAGTGCCGGCTGTGGGCAAGGTTTCACGGCCGGTGAGCGCCCTACCGAAGTGGTTTAAAAAGAAACTAATCAGTACAGCAGCAAAATTTTTGCTCAGGTCTAGGCACAGAGGACCAGAGGCAGTTACAGTTATAGAAATACATTGGTAGCTTACTCTAACTTGGAAAGATCTACATCATGTAGTATACTGACTTTATTTTCTCTTAAGCCAAATCCCATTCCATTGTTTTTGGCCCTTAAACCTCTGAAATGCTTTTGCTTTTATATATTAACTCAGATCTCCCTATAAAATAGAATTTCAAACATTCAAGAGGAACAACATAGCAGGGGGAGATATTCTTACATAAATCACTGGAGTCAAATTTTATTTCCTCTGTGAAAACAAGCCCTAGGAAAATTAAATTTTCTTCAATTTATATACAATTACACTAAATTCATTTCTGTAGCAAAATATAGTTAGTCACCAAAGTAAATATAATCATCTGGAAGACTTCCAGTAAGCTTCAAGTTAGACAGCCTGGTAAATCAAACACACATACCAGAATGAAGGCCTAGCTACTGAGTAGCCCCATTTCTGTTTCTGGACATAAGCTAGAGAAGTTGAGACTTAACACTAACTCAAAAGTGATATGAAAAATTCAACTAACATTGAAAGTTAGCCTGTTCCTATTTGTTGTAAAAAGAGAATAAAGAGATTTCCCTCAGCCAGGGCATGGTGGCTCCTGCCTATAATTCCAGCACTTTGGGAGGCTGAGGCTGGAGGATAGCTTGAGGCCAGAAGTTCAAGACCAGCCTGGGCAAGAGCAGGACCCCATCTCTACAAAAATTGGAAAAATTAGCTAGGCATGGTGATGTGTACCTGTAGTCCCAGCTACTTGGGAGGCTGAGACCAGAGGATCACTTGAACCCAGGAGTTGGATGCTGCAGTGAGCTATGATTATGCCACTGCACCTCCAGCCTGGCAACAGAGCAAGACCCTGTCTCAAAAAAAAAAAAAAAAAAAAGATATTTCCCTCACAAGAACCTCATGATGATTAAGATAAAATATGGACAATACCTGGCAGGTAAGCAGATGCCCAATAAATATCAGTTTTCTACCCTCCATATCCTTTTTAGTCATTTCTGTCCAGTGAGATATCTAAACTGGTTCCCGGCTACTTAGAACACAGAGAAATGCTCCTTACTTTGTAACTCTTCCATCAGTTTTCAAACTTTAGTGTGCACAGGAAATCCCTTGCAAAGATTATTAAAATGCAGTCCTGGGTCCCACCCTGCAGAGATTTAGCAAGTTGGGATAAAACCTAGAAATCTGCATGTTAAATCTTCATTAAGGTTATTTAAAATATATTTGTATTTCACTGTTGTGTTGGCATCAAAATGCTTATCTGGGGATGTCACATTTTATACATTACTATCAAAAAAATTTGTTTAATTGGCACAGCACTTCTGAACTGCTTTGTAACTAAAAATTTTAAGATCACCCTGTTTTAAAATTTCCTTTATTTATTTAGATCTTTATAAAACATTCCATCCTTCTGCAGATCATAGTGCTTTATTAACAAATTCATGTGTTCTTTTCCCATTCCTTTAATACAAAAAAAATTATTCATCAGTTATTTTCATCTGACATTTCACTAAGTACAGGATTCATAATGTCAACATTATTAGATCAGTCATTCAAGTGGGTCACACAAGTTTATCTTCATTGTGCCAAATACCCACTCAAAGGATAATATGAATAACAGATGCCTCCAAGTGTATTCAACAACTTTAGTTTCTTGACATGAACTAGTCCTGTTTAACAGGTCAAACTGCTAGTCTACGTAAATAAGCTAGAAAAGACTCAAGTATACAGCTGTACACATCATGAAATGGCAAGTTCATTTCAATAAGAACTTCTATGACTGTACATTAGTACAGTTTTCTGCTATCATTGCAAAAGCCCCTCTGAGCAAAGTTATAGTTCAGAATTTTAAAAAATCTTAATGAGATAAAATGTACTAGGTGGCTTTTCTGTAGCAGAAATTAATTACAACCATTTTTCCTCAAGCAATTTTAAAGACAAGCAAGGCTGAAAATAAATATGCAAGCATACAGTAAACTAAAATCTGAACTTAGAAATTCAGATACAACGCACACTGGCAGAGTCTATGACTGTAGAAGATAAATTAGAAAGATAAACTAGCAATGAAGCAATAATTTCTTCCAAATAGCAGGAAACAAGTTCTCCAATACCATTATTTAGTGTTCACCTATTCATTTTTAAAATCCCCTCTAATTATGACATTTGAGCAGATATACCAACAAAGACCTTAAATCATACTGCATGAAATAAGTGACCATTTAATTCCTAATGAATTGAATGAACTCCTTAATGACTTTTTAGATTTGTATATAATAGAAAGGTTCAGTAACTTGTGTACAGTTGCTTAAAATCGATTGGTATTTATGAAAGCTTTTAAAAGTTAAATTATATTCTTATCCATTTGTTAATCCACATTATTAATGTAATACCCCTAGTGTTCTATAACCATTTAAGCCTCAGGTATTAGGGTGATCTGTTTCAAGTTCTGAGGCATGCTATTTTGACTTATTTATTTGCAGGGAATCACCCTCTTTTCTCCCCTCCACCACAAAAAAAGTTGACAGAATAGAGACAAATTTCCAGACTTAGGCATAAGGAAAGTTAAGATTTTTCAGGCTTGGATTATAACCCTTAGTTAAGACGAATGCCAAGTATATATGCCAATTGTTAATTTTTTATGAAATTGAACATAAAAAAGAAATTCCAGCTAAATCATATTCTTTCAGAATGAATGAGACATGATGAGACACGTTAATAAGATATGACATGCTTATCATCCATAATCAAAAACTTCAATTCCCTACCTGAAATTGGCTTGAAAAATGGTACAAAGTCTATAGCTCCTTTAAAGAATTTTAAGAAGCCTATATAAACCATTGAAAGGACTTATATATTAATAGATTTTATATTCAAAACTAATCTATGAAGCCCATTTCATTCAATTTAAAAGTTAGTCCTAATGTATTTGTGGTTGCTTTTACTTTGTTTTTTAAAAAGGGGTACTACTGTAATTTAAGACATCCTAGAGATAGTATAGATTTGAAGGATTCTTTTCATATCTTGGATGCCTTAGGTAATTTCTTAAGAGCTTAAAATTATTATTTGTTCCTCCTTAATATGAAACTCTTGCAACATAGCTTTTGATCAGTAAATTAATGTTCCTTAGGCACTGTGAGGTGTATTAATGATGGAGCATGAACCCAGGTTAAAGTGTATAATTTGATTTTAACTACTAACAAGACAGTTAACAAGCACTATCTTAATCCACTGACAGCAAGAAATGCCTTTATCCTACTACTCCTGAGATTCTAAAGAGGGAAAAACTAATTTCACAATCTTTAAAAGAATCCATAGATAATTCTAAGAACTGCACATACTTAGGGTATTAGCAAAGATGTTTTCTTTTGTAAGGCATCAATAATTAAATTAATAAAATGCATATCTAACAAAAGATGGTTAACACTCAGTATCATAAAACCATTTATCTTTTCTTTTAAACTTCTCTAATTCCTGCTACTTTTGCCAACTTAACTAAGAAAAGAATGCCTCTTGACTAATCAACTATGGTTATAAAAAAACTAAGACATCTGAAACTATTAGGCACATCAAAGGTACAGTTTATGTAGTTCAAGGTTCCCTTCTTAAGGGGCAGATGAGTTACCTGGCACATTATACATGTGGAACTGTAATAAAGATCATCTACTAAATTCAACTTTCACATTTTTAGTCAAACTGAAAGACTTATAGTAAATATTCAAACATACCATATCTTCAGTTACAACTGAATAAGTATAACATTTTACCAGATAAAAAGCTGAAACTTAAGTATGAGAAACCTTCACACACTGTGCTTGTATTGGTCTCTTCTTTTTAGATGAAAGCCAGTCATCAATACTTTCAACACAGCAGTTTAGAAGATAAATGTCCAAAACAGGTGACTTGGTTATAGTCCATTATTTAGCAATTCAATGCCACTGGCATCATAATGCTGTGGAGAGCAAGTGTATCTCCATATTTTAGTCAGATTTGTCTTTCTTCTTTCCTGTTAAGGGCACTTTGTTTACAACAGCAGACCCAACAGCTGTAACTCCTCCAGCCGCGGCAGACACACCCCCTTTCACCAGCCCTATTCCCATGGAAGGCACAGTTGTAACAGCTGTTTTGGTCACCTCCAGACTTTTGCCACCAATCCAAGCCACACCACCAATGGTGGCACCAACAGCTCCCTTTGTAACACTGAAGATACCCCCAGTCACACGGGACAACATGCCTGGCTGCTGCTGTGGGTGATCTTTCACTGAACCTAATGAAAGAAAATATCATGAGACAGTCAAATACAAGCCTTTAAAAGAGCAGTACAAATCATTAAGTAACCTAAGACTCCCTCACAATCAGGAGGTTGACTTGATAAGGCCAACCACACTGAAAGACAATGAAGAGCTTCCCTTAAGAGCACAGTTGTACCCATGTTTTTATAGTATTTTGGTCTAATGTTAATTCTTAGTATCTATGAGAAGCAATGCTTTAGACTAGACAATTATCACAATATAGAATCCTATTTTAAATGTTCCCTTCATTTACAGTTTTGCCATTAAAAAATAACTTTCATTTTATATGCTAAAAGGAACATGAAAAAATAAAAAGATAAATACATTTGGCCTTCATTTCTTTGATAGGATTCAATCAGTTATTACTGAAATAATCGTCTTCATAGAAAGCAGTGGTTCTCAAGGTATAGTATGGTAAGCCTGATGGTCCCTGAGACCTTTGGGGGAGGTCCACAAGGTAAAAACTGTTTTCATAATAATATTAAGATGTCACTTGCCTTTTCACTTTCATTCTGTCATGAGTCTACAGCAGTTTTCCAAAAGCTAGATGATGTGCAATTATACAACAGACTGAATGCAGAAGCAGCTGCAAGAATCACTAATCCAAACATTAAAGAGCTTTACAAAAATGTATAAACAGTATTACTCTGCTCACAAGTTTTCATTTTGAAAAAGTTACTTTTCATAAAAACATGTTAATCATTTAACATGTAATGGGTCTATTAATGAATACACCCACTGGGGTCTTTTAATGAATAAAATTAAATATTCAAGTTCTTATTGGTAATATAGTAAATACTAACAAAGACACAAGCTTTTTGGGGCCTCAGTTTTTGAGAATGTAAAAGCATCCTGAAACCAAAAAGCTTTAAAACCTGTTAAATAAATTTGGGTCTCTCCTCTATGTGTCCCTTAAAAATGTATTTAAAGAGGTAATACTGTGTGAAAACAGAAAAATTATTCATCATTTAAAATTACAGTAACTACCTAAAATCATTTTTATTCAGATGTAAGTAGGGTAGACAAATTACATCTATGGTTAATACTTAAATCACTGCCTAAGTAATTCTTATGGAAGAGAGCATGTGCTTTAAGCATCTACGTAACCTAAGGATTTAGACAGCAACAACACTTAAGCAATTGAGTTTTTTCTTTTCTAAATTTCAGAGAAAAATATTTGGTAAATTCATGCTTTAACCACTAAAAAAGTACAATTCCACACACAAAAAAGGTAATTCTTGGGTATATAGGTCCAACTAAGACCACCAAAGCTACTAGGTCCTAGCAGAGAAGGTAACATGGGGAAACTGACAATATTTGATGGAGAAAAAAAAAATTCTGAAAATTGAACCTCCCTAACACACAGGCACAATTATACCTTGAAATAGGTAAATTTTGGAGGTTTTACATGATATCACAAGTGGTAAATTGATCAGTAAAAATAGTGCATAGATACAGCAATGGCTAAATCTCAAAAACCAAGTTTTTTTTTTTTGTTTTTTTGAGGCAGAGTCTTACTCTGTTGCCCAGGCTAGAGTGCTGTGGCATCAGCGTAGCTCACAGCAACCTCAAACTCCTGGGCTCAAGCAGTCCTTCTAACTCCTGGCATGTGCCACCATGCCCAGCTAATTTTTTCTATGTATTTTTAGTTGGCCAATTAGTTTCTTTCTATTTTTAGTAGAGACAGGGTCTTGCTCTTGCTCAGGCTGGTTTCGAACTCCTGACCTTGAGTGATCCACCTGACTCGGCCTCCCAGAGTGCTAGGATTACAGGCTCATGTGAGCCAACGCACCCAGCCTAAAAACCAAGATTTTTTTATTAAAACTAAGCATTGTTAATATAAATTTTTAAAGGGCTAAAATAAAAGACTTAATATAGATGGGCATTTGAATATTATTAATTATAAAATTACAATGGATATGATGGTATATGGAGGTAATTAAAAAAAATTATGATGGAAATGATTACCTAATTGGTAATTCTTTTGTAATCGAGGTCAACATCAGAAGGAAAAGAGGCAAAATCCTGATTTCAGGATAAAACAGATTACTGTCCCTTACTATGCCAAATTTGGTACCTATGCATTTAATGAAGGTAAATAATTTTTCCTTATCAAATAAATATTAATGCAGTTGATCTCTTTAATTACAGTGTATTCTTAATTACCACCATATAAATTATCTGCTTTACAGATTATTCTTATTTAGCAGTTGGTATAGAAAGACATGCCTTAGGCTCTATTCTCTTCTTTGGTAATCATGCTCTTGAATGGCCTTTGTTTATCCCTTTCCTAATTTTTTTCTCACAAAGTCCTTGTTAACTTTCTCATTGAGCCCCACCTTTTCTTTTCAAAACTCCACAACTCTAGTCCTAAAAAGTAAAGCAAGGAAAAGAGCTGAGCTAATAAATTTCCAGGCTATTCCTCCACTAAACTAGACTAAACTAATCAGCTGGTTCTTCCACCTTCTTTTAGGTGTTTTTTTTTTTAAGACAGAGTTTCACTTTGTTGCCCAGGCTAGAGTGAGTGTCGTGGCATCAGCCTAGCTCACAGCAACCTCAAACTCCTGGGCTCACGCGAATCTTCTGCCTCAGCCTCCAGAAGAGCTGGGACTACAGGCATACACCACCATGCCCGGCTAATTTTTTGTATATATATTTTTAGTTGGTCAATTAATTTCTTTCTATTTTTATTAGAGACAGGGTCTCGCTCAGGCTGGTTTTGAACTCCTGACCTCGAAGAACAATCTGCCCGCCTTGGCCTCCCAGAGTGCTAGGATTACAGGCGTTAGCCACCACGCCCAGCCTTTTAGGCTTAAGTATAAGCTTTTCAATGTTATTTTCCTAGCAATTTTATTTCTGCCTACCAATATTAGAAGAAACTTTTTAACAGAACTGGGAAGAAAATACAGTAACTAGAGTCACAATCTCCAGAACTGGCTATCAACATGGAATTCTCCAAGATCACCATTTGGATTAATTTTAATAATAGTCAGTACCAAAACCATAAATTTAAAATGCCTGTGGTCATTTTCTGTATGTTGTCAGGACATTCAGGTGTGTAGTTTTTGAAGTAAAGGTAAGAATAAAATGATTTATGATGTCACAATTTTCTAACTAAAAGACAGTTATGACTTAGACAAATTAAGCAGACCCCAAGACCATGTAATAATGTAGGAAGAAAGAGCTACCAACTGTAATAAATAATAGGAGTTTAACAATAAATCTCAAAAGCCTCTTGAATTAGGCTGATTTTTCTGTGTGCCGACATTAAAACTAAATGTAGTCAGACAATCCCAGTACTTTAGGAGGATTAGGTGGGTGGGTTGCTTAAGGCCAGGAGGTTAAGACCAGCACGGGCAACATCTGGAGACCATCTCTACAACAAATTTAAAAATTAGCCAGGCATGGTAGCTAGCACACACCTGTATTCCCAGCTACTTGGGAGGCTGTGGCAGGAGGACTGCTTGAGCCCAGGAGTTCAAAGTTACAGTGAGCTATGATCAGGCCACTGTATTCCAGCCTGGGTGACAGAGCAAGACTGTCTCTTAAAAACAAAAAAACAACTACACATAGTCCATCCTTCCTCCATATCTACCCTTACCTTTACAAATGAAAAGATACCTTTATTTGGAAAATGGTCTTAAAAGAAAAAAAAGAACACCAGGAAAACAGACCTTATATAATAAAATTGTGTCCCCATTCACCAATATCTATACTTGCTTGCCTTTTTTTTTTTTTTGAGACAGAGACTTGCTCAGTCACCCGGGCTAGAGTGCAGTGGTGTCATCGTCGCTCACTGCAATCTCAAACTCTTAGGCTCAAGGGGATCATCCTGCCTCAGCCTCCCAAGTAGCTGGGACTACAGGCGCATGCCATCATGCCTGGCTAATTTTTCTGTTTTTTGCAGAGACAGAGTTTTGCTCTTGCTCAGGCTGTTCTCGGAGTCCTTACCTCAAGTGATCTTCCCACCTTGGCCTCTCTGTTTTCTTATTTGAAACTAAAAATGTTTATCTTCACTTATTTTGGAATATTTACTGACAAGGTAAATGGGTTATGTTTCTTTAAATTTAATAAAAACAATCACAGCTTTAATTCATCAGGATAATTTGTCCCTTCTTAGTGTTATAGATGTGTACTTACCTTCTGGTGGTTCATCACTAAGGTATGATGGGATTTCTTGTTGATTTTTATCTGCCTGATTCATGATCTCCTAAAAAAAAATCATACAGACACATTTCATTTTAACCTTAACATATGAGACCACCTCTTATCACATGCTAAATTAAGACTTAATCAACTTGATTCAGATAAACATGTTAAAACACATTATCATAAGACTACTTCATCTTATCTCCTACTTCAAATAGGAGCGGTTAAGAAATACTTTAAATTACACCAGTATACTGTAAATCTTATCTAAGAGTGGCAGTCATAATATACAAGCTTTCCTACATTGTTACTGTGGTAACAACTTAAACCTGAAAATTACTAACTGAAAGAGACCTGGAAGGTGGAAGTTAGTAGACAAGTCTTAAATGTTTCCTCATACAGAATACTGGTTAATTTAATTGCAATTTATTTCACAGGCTTAAAACTTATACCATAATAAAAATGTGTTCCATCTGAAAAAGTTCTTTAAAAATAAAATGACATCCCTGTATTATAAAGATGACATTACCAATCTGAATCAGTAAAAAATAGATTTTGATGACTTTATTATTCTTAGAGCTATGAATAGCAGTAGTAACAGAATACAACATCTATAAAAAATATATAGATATAATTCTGTGATTACCTCTAAGTTAAAGTAAGAAATAAATACGTAAAATAAGCTATGCTGGGGTAAAGAAAACATGATTAGGCTAGGTGAAGTGGCTCATGCCCATAATCCCAGCATTTTGGGAGGTCAAAGTAGGAGGCCAGGGGCTCAAGACCAGCCTGGTCATCATAGCAAGACCCCATCTCTACTAAAAAAAATTAGCTGGGTGTGGTGGTGCATGCATGTAGTTCTAGCTATGCAGGAGGCTGAGATGGGAGGATTGCTTGAGCCCAGAAGTTTGAGGCTGCAGTGAGCTATGGATCGAACCACTGTACTCTAGCCTGGGCAATAGAGCAAGACTCTGTCTCTAAAAGAAAGAAAGAAACCATGATTAAACTTTCTTTTCCCAATTTCCTTTACTGTTGTATCTTAAAATATTTCCTTTTAAAATTCATTTAACTAAGTAAAGAACAGGACAGGTAAAAGATTGGTCTAAAAGTGTACTTTATGATATACTGTCATGCTTGGTGAGAAAATTAGGGTTGTGATTCCAGTAGTCAACTGAGTATTTCCTGGTCATACATCCTTGGAGCCTATATTATCGTGTTTCTACGTATACAAGAGATAGTTAAAAGGATATTGTGAAAACAATGTACTTCAATACATTAACTAACAAATGTTGATTGAGGACCTACTCTAGAGCAGGCAATGTCTTAGGAGCATGGGATATAGCAGTGATCAGTAAAGAGCAACAAAATCCCTGCCATCATGAAATGGACACTTTAGTGGGGGAAAACAATAAATAAAATATACAAAGACTGTACTATATGTCAGATGATATTAAATGCTATGAAAAAAAGAGACGGAGAGGGAGAGAATGTGATATTTTAAATAGGACAGTAGTCTGTGAAGGCTTCCTTGCCTTCATGACATCTAAAAGGAGGTAAGGATATGAAACATTTAGGTGAAGAGTACTCAAGGCAGAAGCTTAGCTGGAGGAATAAGAAAGAACAGCCAGTAAAGTGTATCAAGGGCCACATCAAAGGGCAGTAGAAGAGGAAGTCAAACTGAGAGGTCTGGATCGCATAGGCCCTTGCAGGCAATGATGGTGACTGGCTTTTAATTCTGAGTGAGATGGGAAGACCGTGAAGGGGAACTGAACAAAGGAGTGAGGTGTTCTGATTCACATTTTAAAAAGATCATTACGGCTGCTGTGGGGGAAACAAACAATAGGAGAACAAGACCAGAGGCAGAAAGACCTGTTAAGAGACTACTTCAATAATCCAGGCCAAAAAAAATGCTGGGAGCTTGGAGGATGGTGGGAGAGGCAGTGGTTGTGAGAAGTTGGGATTTTCAAAGGTAATTTTAACTTCATGCAATTCACCCTGCTATGCCTTTAAAACCTAAATCCTGTGTAAGATGAGACTTCACTGCACCCCACGGAGTCCAGCAGCACATGTCATGTGTTTCATAAATATCTTTTAATGGCCCTGTTGAACATCCTGACTCAGGCCACTTACCAACAGCATCTAATCTTATCCTGGTTTGGTTTGTGCACATCATCCCACACATACTTAAGATTTAAAAAGTATAGTAAAGCTATGTAATCTCTTACAGAAAGACCAAAAAGAGGTTCCTGACTGATTTGCCTTAATTTTAAAATTCCCCAAACTGGTTACATTTATGTCCATTCATATTTATATTTTCTTCGCTATATCATCATTATATGATCATAACAAATCATACAGTATAGTAGTTAAGGCTCTGGGATCAGACAGCCTGAATGTGAATCTCAACTTGACCACAAACTGTAAGCCAGAAAGCAAGTAACTTTATTAGATCCTTGTTGTTTAGATTTAAAATAGAAATAAAAGATAGTCTAGCACTAACCCTAAAATGAGAATACTATTTAACAAATTCCAAAACAAAACATGCAGAAATTGCTGGCAGAATATGTGTGTCCTTTCTAAGTAATATGACTATTTTGATGCCACTTTCTTCCCCATTGAATAGTTAATTTCAGGACAGACACCTTTGTCTAGTAATCCAGGTATCTATATATCATACACACAAATCCAAGACATCTGACAGGCAACTATCAGCAGGAGCCATGATACCCTATATCATGGGGAAATTATATGTACTTTCATCTTATACATTTTAGCTAGAGATTAAGAATAGGTGTGACTATGATAGTAACTGCATACATTTCAAAACTGACTTTCTGGTCCCTACCCAACAAATCCCTACTAACAGTCTTACCTTTTCCTCCTAATACAGAATCCCCTTTTAAAAATTCTTTTTCTACATTCTATCTATCTTGTAACTAGAAAAAGACCACTATTTAAAAAATTAGCACTGCTTTATACTGTGATAGCATAAAGATATATGCAAATTAATATACACAATATGAACTGACTTCATCCTTCTGTGGGCAGGCAATGAGGAGCCATGAGCAGAGTAATACTGTCAGATCTGTGCTTTAAAAAGCTAACTGAAGCAAGAACAGATGGAAGGACAGAGAGATTAAATACAGTAAATGGCTACTATAATAGTCCAGTGAGACAAAATAACAATCTAAACTCTGACAGCTTTTCCTATCTAAATAAATGCTTGGGCCAAAAACCTAGGGTCACCCACGACTTCCTCTTTTTTTACATTCCCATCTAATCATCAGTAAATTCTGTTGCCTAAACAAATCTAGAATACAACCACTTTTCATCACCACTACTATTACCACTTTAGTCTAAACCATCATAATCTCTTATTTGTACTACTGCAAAATCTCTAATCTGGTCTCTGAGCCTTCCACCTTTGCTCTTCCTTCAGTCCAGCCATGTCATACTCTGCTTAAAACCCTTCAACTCCTTCCTATTTTGTTCACACTAAAATCCAGAGTCCTAACACCTTGGTCTTTGAAGCCATACATCTAACCTCCATTTCCACTCTAATATTGTCTCCTACCATTCTTGCTCATTCCACTGCAGTAACAGTTCCTTGTTTATCTTTTCTGAAAGGCTCTTACCCAAGATATATATGGCTTGCTTCCTTACTTCATTCAGATACTTGCACAAATATCCTCTTATTGAAAACCATTGCTGACCACCTCATAACAGATGAGCATCCTCTACTCCTCTCCCTACCATTTTCACCTAATCCTTCTCTATTTCCTTCATAACTCTTATTGTCACTTGATATATATACATCTGTTTACTTTGTGTCTCTCCCAATTAGAATGTGAACAAGGGCTTGGTTTTGTTCACTACGGTATCCCCAGAGCCTTAATCAGTGTCAAATGCATGGTGGATACTCAAATAGTTGAATTTTTCATATTAAATAGAATATAATTTGAGTATTATGTGAGATGAAAGGAAAAATCTAGGCTGTTAAGACTTCTAGTGTAAGCAACTAAGTAGAAAGAGATGATGATGAAGACAGGGAACTGAGAAGAGAAACTTCTTTTGAGAAAAGATGAAGGACTTGTTTTTGAACAATCTCTATCTGAAATGCCTTCGGGTCATCCATGGGAATGTTCAGCAGGCAACTGGATAGAAGGGGCCAGAGACTCAGGATGTATGAGTTAGAGCTGAGGTTCTGAGAGTAGTTTAAAGTGATAGCTGAAGCTGTGGGCAGTGGGTGCTATGATCAAGGAGAAGTAGACTGATAACCTTAACTAGACAACACACCTGAAAATGAAGAGTCAAATGAATACAGATTTATAGAAGGCAAGAGAGGACTTTATAAGCTTCCAAAAGATATACACAATGCAGACATTAAAATAATTTATGATGATCAAATACTACAGGAAAATAACTAATGTTATATTTAGAGGATATAAATATAAGCATGTATCATATGATCCAGTTTTTTTCTAATGGATACGAAATGACTAGAAGGAAACATACCAAAGTGTTAACAAAGATTGCCACTGGGGGTAGAAATTTATATAACATTTTACACATATGTATATATGCATTATATATTATGGTATATATAGCATTTATATATTTATATTATTGATAATATTTCATATATACATACATATATGTAATTAATATCTGTATTTTAATTTTCTACCACAAACATGGATGGCTTTTGTAATTGAAGAATATACATTTTTAAGTCTTGGAAATCAGTGATATTCATAAATGGTATTTTTAAAGATTACGTAGTTCATCTATTCCTACTTATTCTTAGATTTTATCCACAGATAAAGTTGATCATCTAAAAAACAATGTACTTGAGTCACATAATGCTTTAAGAAAATGACATCACTGAATTCTGTTTATAGTTATGTACTTGGTAAGGAAACCTTGACGAACAGCCTTATGCAGGCTGTTACTCCATTAACTATACAATATTGTTAAGGATATTACCCACTACATCCATCACTTGATAGTTCTGACATGGAACTTCACATAAGAAATTTCTTTAAAGGTAATTATTCAGAAAATGTCTTGTTTCTCTCAAATATTTAACATGTTTTAAGATCCATGTATTTTTCTCTTTAAAAGATAACAAAAGTGTGATGTATCCTTTCTACCCTTGGCTTCCAGGAAGCTTATAGCTAAAATCCTAGCTCAGCCAGGTAGGCCCCTATCGCCCATGTAATTGTGTCCTATCCTTCACACACACCCGCCTCAAGACTTCCACTTTGGTTGCTATTTTTCCCTGCTTTGAAATTTAAATATCTTACTTACATTTTTACCATTTTGTTAGTACATGTTTTTGTTGTAAGCTGCCACATAGTATTTGTGAAATAAGTAAGATAAAAAGAAAGTTTTCTATGCACATTAACTCTAAGCATCACAAGAAATGATGCATACCAATATATGGCTCAAAATTTGATTAAAAAAGAGAAAACTCTAGCTAGAGTCATTCTTTTGAAATGTAGCTTTTTAAAAGTAGGCAGTGGTATGCCAGGGACTTCAAGAAACCACAGGAAAGCAGTGATGCACACATTTTACTCTAAAGTAATTTAAAATACTGTTTTATTTTTAAATGCATACACATTAAAAAGTAAAATGAAAAGTGCTTGGATATTTTTTAAAAATAACTAGACTTTCAAGAAATTTCATTCTTGCCTGGGGTTGCTTCAAGATGTACTCTCAGACTTACCAGCTTTCCCTGGCCAGCCCAACCAAACTCCCACTCCCACCATCAGTTCATTCTGCCCTTACATTAGGAGTATTTTTGTAGAAGAGTCTGAAATGTAGAAAGCTAGATATTTTCATATAGAAATATTCAGTTATTATAGAGAAGTGTTCATTTAAAATTATTAACAGTAGTTACCAATAGGATTATCAATAAACAACAAAATAGCAAATCTGGAGTCCTGCCAGGGCAGGCATGTCTACGTAGGAGGCTAGAAGGCCTTCAAAGTCCAGGTAGATTGTTTTTTGTTTTATTTTAATGTTTAGGTTTCTTGTATATCAACTGTCTTATACAGTATTAAAATTCCTCTAGAACTCTTAGGGTAGTAAGAATTGTGTAAAAGCCACAAGCACATGAGATTTTTTTCTCCTGATTTCCTAATTTGATCATAAGTTACCTGAGTTACTTTATAAAGGTACTTGCTAAAAATCCTTAACTATCTGTAGTGCCATCTTCACATAAACCATTCCTAACCTTTACACACATATATGTGCCAAACTCTAAGTGATATTGCCACTTTATGGATATTACCACTAAGGAGAAATACTTTTTATATTACCATCCTACTCATTATCACCATTGCAGGAGACCTGTTTCTCTTAAATTGGGAATTGTGAAGACAAATTTACACCCCTAATCTCCTAAACTGCTCAAGGTAAATAATCTAACATAATTTAAAAGTATGTAAATAGAGGCCCAGCAGAGCAGTGGCTCACACCTATAATCCTATCACTCTGGGAGACAAAGGCAGGAGGATCACTTGAGCTCAGGAATTCAAGACCAGCCTTAGCAAAAGCAAGACCCCATCTCTACTGAAAAATAGAAAAATTAGCCAGGCATGGTGGCGCATGCCTGTAGTCCTACCTATTTGGGAGGCTGAGGCGGGATTGCTTGAGCCCAGGAGTTTGAGGTTGCAGTGAGCTGACACCACTGCACTCTAGTTGAGGTGACAGTGAAAGACTGTCTCAAAAAAAGGAAAAATATATATACATATATATATATATATATATGTAGAGACAAGTACCAACTGACAGTAAAAGTTTCAAAATGACCATTTAAAAATGTTACCCTTAAATGATACAGTAAACAAAATTATTAAATTCTATACAAACCCTCTGCCCTAAACTCACTGAGTCATTATATACTTGGGCCCTACTATGTGCCAGGCACCATTATCCACTTAAGATTTCAGTGTGATTAAGCACACACAGGCACTACTCTAAACCAGATTTTACAATCCAGCGGGAATACATTTTTCTAGCACTTACCAATTTAGTGAATCATTCATTCAAGAAACAAAATATATCTGTTCTCTGGAGCTCACAATGCAAACAAGTTTCTATTTAAAAACATACTTTCCTAAGAAAGGCAGTAATTACAGACAACAGCTTATTCTATGGACATAAATCAGTTCTACCTTTTGGTTCTGATATGTGAACAAATTATTACAGTATCAACTAAAACTCATAAGTGGGTTCTTAAGAAATTGCAAAATGTGAAGACTTCTTTGCTATAGACTGTTCATCATGACTACAAACTCATCAGCAGTTACTTTAAGCACTACGTGGGGAGAATAATTCTTGTCCAGTACAATGGTATCATAGATGTGGCAGCTGGCAAATATATTGAGCAAGGATTAATAACACCACAATTCCCTAGAGGGCAATTTATTCCAATAATAGAAATAAGTAAACAAATGCTCTTGGGAATCTTTTTTCTTTTTAAAGGAAAACAGATGAATCAATGTGGTTTGGGGTTTCAGTAACATTTTATATATAAAATTTTTATTCATAATGAAAACAAAGTCTGAAAACAGTACACAAATTTGCTTCTGGGCTTCTCGTATGTACCAAAGGAAGTTAAGTAACACTAACATGTGTATATAAAGCCTAACTATAAAATACACTGCACAACAGTTTACCTTCAAAGCTGCTTCAAAATACCTGTTACTAAACCTAAGTGCCGATTTCCTTATAGAATAAAAAAGATCTAAAACAAATCAGCTAAATACTTATACATATTCTATCTATAGAAACTTTGCCACATCCTCACTCCCATGTTTGAGCTTCTTTGCCAAATAACTGCAAATATAAATATATTTATACGAGCTTTAGTACATATACACCAACAAGCAGTGTACATTAAAACACCAGCTTACTGTTTTTAGGCTTCTCTAGTTAACTAACTATCCTGAACAGGCTGCTTTTAAAGATGGCCCCTGCCCATTAAACCAACAGCAAATAAACTACAAGAAATGCACTGAATCTGACAAGGAAGAAAAAATAATCTGCTGGTAAAACTTAGAAGTGTATATCTAGTGACAAGTAACAAATGACTGTCAAAATGGCAATCTTTAAGTGTTGTCCTTAAACATTAAGCAGAATTACAGTACTCTATCCAACCAGAGAACTAGTATACCAGTCATCTTCATTCACTACATTATACCTCATTAGTTCAACAGATACTAATATTTGCATCCCTACTATAAGTCAAAGTCTCTGTTAGGCACTGAGGCATCACTGTGAACAAGCATACAAAAGACCTACCCTCAAGGTGTTTATAATCCAGTGAGATATTTTCAGGAAGTAGGAAAAGAACAAATAATGACTGAAACAAAGAAAGGTAAAGATTTTCCTGGAGTTTTAAAAAATCAAATGTGCACACACACACAGAGATCTGCATTTTTATTTGTCTAATATAGCAACTACAACATTTCTAATGATGTTTTCTATATATGGACAAATTCTTACTGAACTTGGTTTCTGGTACATCTGTTATAACAAAGACTAAAGAAATGAAAATGGAAAAAGGTTTATTAAAGGTTACTTCATCCCTTCTTTTTAAAGAGTAGGCATGAGCATATACACACATTTACCTGTTGGTGTGATATCAATATTCGTGGGAAGCCCTCGAGAGCATCCACACACGTAGAAGTTTTAAAGGTTAAACAATAGCATACAGCAAATAATTACCGATGGTAAATATTTTCCTTTGGAATTAGCACAGTGTTCACAAGGGCACAATAGTCAAATAAGAACTCGCCTCTTTCTCTAGGTGTTTCTAAACCCTTCCCAGCGGCCCCTTCTCTACCCACTGATCCCTTTAGGTACTAGCAAGTTTTTTTTTTCTTCTTTCTTTAGCAGAGGGAGTGACGTGGCAGGCGGCAGAAAATGACCCTGTAGGCGCCGTGGCTAGGGCTGAGCTTGGCACCTCCTCCCTCCGCTCCACGTTGTACACCCAGCATACCCCAACTCCCGTAGGGTTCCAGAATTTCTATGTAAGAAGGGTTTGGGAGAGGCGATCTGATTGGAAGTGTGAGCTAGGGGATGTCTTGAAGCTGCGTTGTACAGCAAGCACAGTTTTTGTTTAGACTGGGAAGGCAGTGACAGCACGGATGGGTAGGTACTCCAGGGCTCTCAGTCATCCCTTGGTGCCACCAGCGCCCCTCTCCACTCCCACACTTTTCAGGTTTAGGTTAGAGTTGGGGGTAGAGCCTTCCTATCTAGGAATGCACTGGGATGCCCACTGGGGGCTAAGTCTTGTGTGTCTGAACCCAAAAGGGAGGTTTATCAACAGGTCAAGAGTTAGTGGGGCGAGGATGCCCAGCACACAAGCCCCTCTGCCGCATCCCTCTCCCAGGCTGCTGACGCCCGCCCACCCCCCACCTCCACCTCCACCGCCACCCACAGCCTGACACCCAGGATGCTAAGAATCAGGCGGAGGTCCCCAGTCTCCAGCCGTGGAGAGGGAGACAGCGACGTATAAGGAGGAGTAACCCCACAAGCGAAACACCATCCGCCCCCAACTTCATTGTGCCCCTCCCTGCGCTCAGTACCCCCGAAAGGCCCCGCTTAGGGCAGCCAGGCCCGGGGAGGTGGGAGGTGAGGTGCGGAAGAGCTAACGGAAGACGGCGAGCGAGGAGGGCAGGAAGCTGGGACTGCGCCCCCTGCCCTCCCAGCCGACTTACTCACCGCCGGGGTCAGGGGCCGGCGGCTGGGGCCGGGCGGAGGGAGTGGGCAGCACCGAGGCGGGCTGAGGCGGCAGGGACAGCCGGCACACCCCGGGGCAGTTGCGGGCTCCGGAGGTGTCCCCTCAGGCTGTGGAGCCAGAAGACACGGTAAGTGGCGGCGGCCTCTGGCTGCGGACGTGGCGCCCGACGCGACCCACCCCCTCCGCCGCCTCCCCAGCTCCCGCCTCCTCCCGCGGCTCCGGCTCCGACGCGCACGCGCGCTCGCATACCTCAGGCCCCTCCCGCACCCACCGAGCACACGCCCACCCGTTTCTCGAACTGCCCAGCCCTCCCAGCAGCCCCCAGCCGGCCACGTCCCGACGTGCGCACGCGCGACGTGCCGAGGCCTGCTCCCGCCCCTTCGCCCCCTGGGTACCTCCGTGAGAACCCCCAGCCGGCCTGCGCGCGCGTCCTCCCGGGGTCTCCCCGCCCCCTTCTCTCCACCGTCCAATCAGATCGGGCGAAGGGCACCAAGCCCGGGACATTGGGCTCAGCCTCCGCTGCTGCCCGAAGTCGTGGTTCAGCCGCCAAGTAACGGTCGTCGGAACTCGGAACCTTCGCCGTAGGGAAGGTGGGACGGTCGCCAGTTTCTCCAGCTCTTCACCTGGGGCCTCAGGCTTCCTGCCTGGCCTGCCCTCAGGGGAGAGACGACCTGGGCCTTCTCTCAGCCGGTCACGTCGGGGCTCTGCGCGCCTTTGTGACCAAGGGATAGGGGTGAGGAGAGACAGTGCTTATGTTTGTGTTTCTCGGGCTTTTAAAATTTTTGTTTTTTTTTTGTTTTTTTTGTTTTTGTTTTTTTTAGCTCTTCCTTGCCCTAGAACTGAGCTCCTTGGGAGTAAAACCTTGTCTGGGCCGTCGTCACCCAATGCTTAGTGCAGTGCGGGGGGCTGGCCCCGCTCTTGAAATTTGGTGACGAGAGTGGGTGTGTTTAGTAGCAAAAAGAGAAGTGCATCGGGAATTATTAGAAACCTGGCTTGGCGCCGCTTCCCGACGAGGTCCCTCTCCCAGTCGTCCTCGCCTCGGCCGAGGCTCTCGCTGCGGGGCGGGGTGGAGGAGGTGTGGCGGGGAGACGGTGTAGCTTTGGGGCCCCGACCTGTCCAGCTCTGCCTGGGGTGTGCGGCACTCGCCCTGAGGTGTAGGTCACCGCAGAAGGTGGTGGTGAGGACTGAAGGAGATAAGTAGCGCAAAGGCAGCTTTGCGCTATGGATAAATGGTATCTGTTAAACTTTTCTTTGACTCTCTTCCCACACCTGTAAAATGAAGAATGGCAATAAATTTCATCATAGGTTTTTTTGTGTGTGTGAGGATCAAAAGAAATGGTGGGTATGAAAGGGCTTTATAAACTGAGAAGTCCTGTACATGAAGCAGAAAGCACACATAAAGTCAAAACATACACATGAAGAAAATAACCTCACAAAATGTTTTTCAAATGCAGAATAATCAGGGTGGTGGAACTGAATAATGACTGCTGACAGGGCTCAGAAAAGGACATGCTAGCCAAAGAAGGCATCCTAAAAGAAGCTAATTTTGATCCAGGTCTTCAATGGAATGGACTAAATACAGTTTATGGTTTCAGCCTAATCATTAATTTATCAAATCAGTGAATTAAGTCCACTTAGACCACTTTGTGAGACTATCAGGATATTTTAGTTTTCCAGAGTGTAAAAAGGAAATTAAAATAATCTCTTCAGGCTGGGCGAGGTGGCTCACGCCTGAATTCCTAGCACTTTGGGAGAACGAGGCAGGAGGATCGCTCAAGGTCAGGAGTTGGAAACCAGCCTGAGCAAGAGCTAGACCGGTCTCTACTAAAAATAGAAAGAATTAATTGGTCAACTAAAAATATATAGGAAAAAAATTAGCCAGGCATAGTGGTGCTTGCCTGTAATACCAGCTACTTGGGAGGCTGAGGCAGGAGGATTGAGCCCAGGAGTTTGAAGTTGCTGTGAGTAAGGCTGATGCCACGGCACTCTAGCCTGGGCAACAGAGTGAGAGACTCTGTCTCAAAAAATAAAAATAAAATAATCTCATCACCTCAACATATGGGGTGGATGATTAACAGGATCTTTGGATTGTTCCCTTTACCCAGTATGTGAAGGGATAGATACCTCCTCTATTTTCTTACTATCACAGAAACCTGTGTTCTTAAGATGTGACCTTTCAAGGTTGAACTCTGGGCAGAATTATGAAGTGCACACTTACGTTTTGTTTCTTCTTCCCCTTGCACTTCTTTCTATAAGAGAATTTGATTATTGTAGCCACTTCCAGGAGATTTTGCATTTTTACAGTTATTAAAGCCATAATTCAAAACAGTGATTGAATCTACCTTATAAACCAACCAAGATATAAAAGAGCTCTTTTGGGAGGTTGTGGGAGACTTTCTGAAACTACAAGTATAGGTAGTCATGCATTTCTTATAAGTCTGACCCTGGTCATGTTCTGTTGTCTCAATTTTTTTACCTGTAAAAATGAATAGCACCACTCAGTGTTCACCTACTACTAGGTCTAAAATCAGAACAAATATGATGATCTTAATGGAATGCCTTCTATCTTGATTTGGGGTACCTTGGTGCAACAGAAGGAGCCGCAAGAAAGTCAAGCCTTCGTCTTCGTTTTATAGGCTGAATACCTCTTAATTGTGATTCCCATTCTGTGAACTCCCTTTGTTAGATTATTACATTTCTGGATGTTATTTAAAGATTTTGTAATGTCTTAAAATAATGAGTCCTTTGTGTCTTCAGGCAATAACTTTTAACAGAATAAATTCTTAATATAAATGTATCAATTATCCAGCCTCTTTAAATGGCTGAGTTTTCCTCCATTTGGTTACACACAGAGAATCTTTTGCCTTATTGGAAAACTGGAGAAATTAAATGTTACATTGCTTAATGTGTTCTAAAAGTTAGGGCCAGAAAGAAGCCAGAAACTAGAAATGTGAAAGCAAGAAGTAAAGTACTCATAGGCTGATAGTACATTGAAATTTAAAGGGATCCGGCCAACCTTCTACCCAACACAGGAATCTACCTCCTGTCATATGCACAATAATAGTTTTCATTGTTTCTGAGTATTTTTTTAATAGTTTTCATCGTTGAATTGTCAAATTCTCTTCCCAGCATTTCTGTGTAGACTCATTTAAGTGACAAATCACTGGTAGGTCTACACATTTTCCTTTGTTTTACCATGTCTTCATGAATGTAATGTATTATCCTGCCATTTTGAGATGAACTGAGCAATTAACAGCTCCATGTAGATTACTACCCAATGTAAATAATTATGCTTTTCTATCCTACTCTCTTACTGCTCTTTACCTTTCCTGGCACTATTACATGGACTATTCTTGGTTTTCCTTTCCCTGCCCCAATATCCTTCTTTTTTTTTTTTTTTTTTTGAGACAGAGTCTCACTTGTTGCCCAGGCTAGAGTGAGTGCCGTGGCGTCAGCCTAGCTCACAGCAACCTCAAACTCCTGGGCTCAAGCAATCCTGCTGCCTCAGCCTCCCTAGTAGCTGGGACTACAGGCATGCGCCACCATGCCCGGCTAATTTTATATATATATATTAGTTGGCCAATTAATTTCTTTCTATTTATAGTAGAGACGGGGTCTTGCTCTTGCTCAGGCTGGTTTCGAAATCCTGACCTCGAGCAATCCGCCCGCCTCAGCCTCCCAGAGTGCTAGGATTACAGGTGTGAGCCACCGCGCATGGCTCCCAATATCCTTCTTAATTTTTCCTGTGATATAATTATTATAATTAAGATTTATTTGACATAAGCTCTTAGCCTCTATCTCATTTCTTTCAACAGTCCAGTGAGGTAAGTACATTGTATTCCCTATATTCATAAAACTGAGGTAAAGAGAAGTTGTATAAGGTCCCACACCTAGTAAAGAACAGACTGTAGAATCAAACTCAATTTTGTCTGACTCTAGACCGCAAGTTCTTAACCACTATATCTGAGAAAGAGAAGAGCAGTCCCTGACATCCAGCATCCAATAGATGCTGGCACAGCTAAGCCTTGGTGTTCTCCTGTTGAACAAAAACAATTTTTGAGCATATTAACATTAAACAAGGCTACTCCATGATCAGGATGGACCAGGGCAAAAATAAGACTACTCTCTAGTCATGTCTGAACATAGACAAAAACATGAATGCTGTCCAAGCTACCAAATGGATTACACAAAATGAAAATGCCTAACTAATAAAAGTGGCTCTTGCCTCTTTACCAGTTATAGCTTTAGCCTCATTCTAGTCTTCCTTTCTAGATAATATTTATTGAGATACCCAGTTATAGAATTGCCCCTACTTCCTGACAATACCCTATTTAGAGTATAGAGCAAAATTCTACTTCCTTAAAACCTCCACCAAATCACTTAATGCAAACCCAAATATTTTTTTTTTGCCAGAAAATAAACGCCAGCTTTATTAATATAATAGCAAAAGAAAGGGTTTCCAATTTCTCAGAAGGAAAATAACATGAAACCAGCACTGCCTGGTAAGTGTTACAAGATTACACACCCACATTTATCACTCTGAGAGCTCCCCACCACACACTGATGGTTCCTCAAGGACAACTGCCATCAGAGCTGCTGCAAGAACATGGTTTTCATTCTGTGTAGCTTCACAGTCAACTCCTCAGACAATACGGAAATATTATTTCTTTCTAGAAACTTACTGTAAAGAGAACATATCAATGTGGAGAAGAGGCTGTAGTGAGCTGAAAAAAACACTATCAATTTTTCTCTCATATAGTCTGCCAGGGTGCTCTGTGAAGAATCCTTTTCTATGCCTACCACATGTCTGGGTGAGGGGACAGGAAAGGGTGGCAAGGTGCCAGTACACTAGCAGGCAATTCCGGTGATGCTCTGGGCTCCGCTCCTGTTCTGCTGGTAGTAGTAGGCATCTTTTCTGGCAGCTGTGGCAGCTTGATGGTGGGGGGAGAAGGGGCCACCCACCAATCACCTTTTCTTGAAGCCGTATTTTTTGTGTTCATAGAAGAGGTCTGTCTTAGAGCTCCCCAAATTGACAATTTTTGGGCAGCCATCTCTATCCTTCTCCTGGATGGTACACTCCTTACAATAATAGGCATCAGAGACTCCTGGGCCTCCACAGATCACACAGCGCCCCTGGTAAGAGCCATAGTTACACTCATCACATATTCGCACGAGGGTGCAGGGACGCACATAGGAGTCACAGATTACACACTTGCCGTCACATTTTTCACACAGTCTTCCAATGGCAACGCCAGCCTGCTTGCAGCAAAAGATCAAATCTGGATGGTGTTTAGCCATAGCTCGCAGCCAACCCCCAAACCCAAATATTAAGTCCTTTCTAACACTCTTTTACTGAGTTATTCATGGCTCCCCATGGGGTGGTCTCCCTTGCTGCGTTGAGTAGTAAGCTAAACTTGTTCAACCACAAGTGTATTCCTGGTGATTTTGGCTAGAGAGCATTGATAATTCTTTCTGGGCTGTTCTATATCATGCATTTCTACTGAGTGGAAAGCATGCTTTTTAGGCATTTCTTGCCAGTCAAAGGAACTAGAAACTATCCATATCCAGCCATAGGATTGACACAAAAAAGCTACAAGATTCGCATCCCTTTTTGTGGATTCTATATAGAGTGTCTACTAAATGGAGCTTTATTAAAAGATAATGAAAAGAAACATGATCCTGGAATAGTTGGACATTGGTTTGGAAAACAAAAAAAAGTCAACTCATGCCTCACATCATATGCAGAATAATCAGAATGGATATCTAAATGTAAAATATAAAACTTTTAGAAGAAAACATAGAAGAAAATCTTTGTGATCTTGGATTAGGCAAAGATTCCCAAAACACAAAATAGATTATTCATAAAAGAAAAACTATAAATTTATAAAACTCTTGCTCTTTGGATGATACAAAATGAAAGGACAAGCAACAAATTGAGAGAAAAACATTTGCAAAATACATATCTATTAAGTGACTGTATTCAGAGTATGTAAAGAATTCTTGCAACTCAGAAGACAACCCAATTTTAAAATGTGTACATGATTGAATGATCACTTCACCAAAGGAGATACAGAGATGCCAAGTACGCAAATGAAAAGATGCTCAACATTATAGTCATTATGGAAATGCAAATCAAAGCCATAATGAAAATCACTACTTGGTTGAAATAAAGATAATTCCAAATGCAATGGCATGTGACTATAATTCCAGTTAGCTAAGAGGCTGAGGTGGAAGGATCACTTGAGTCTAGGAGTTTGAGACCAGCCTGACCAGCATAGCAAGACCGTGTCTAAAAAAAAAAAAAAAAAAATCCCAAATGCTGTTGAAGATGGAGAACAACGAAAACCCTGAGACATTGCTGGTGGAAATGCAGAAGTATACAAACACTTGGGAAAATGGTTTGGCAGTTTCTTATAAAGTTGTCTGTATACTTACCATAATTGGTGCCCTTTCATTGGTGAATGGATAAGCAAACGGTGGTACATATATACAATGGAATCTGCCTAGCAATAAAAGGAATAAACTACTCCCACACACACAAAATACATTTCAGATGCATTATTCTAAGTAGAAGATGCATGACTAAAAAGTCTACATACTATATAATTCCTTTTACATGACATTCTGGAAAAGGCAAAACCATAGGGAAAGAAATCAGATCAGTAGTTGCCTAGAAGACAGAAGGGGTTGACTATAAAGGCTTGAGGGAATTTGGAGGATGATGAGGGTGTTGTGTGTACATCTGCCCAAACTCATAGAACTGTACATTTAAAAAGCACTTTTACTGTACTTAAATTATACCTTAATAATCCTCAATTGAAAAAGGTGTTGAAATGGGGAAGGGACGGGAAACCAGTTGAGATGAGGTAGGGCCACCTGGCACCATGAATATGAAGATTGGCCTAAAGGTGAGCAGCCACTTAATGATCCTAATGGGCAGCGCTTCACAGTAATTTTGGTACTACAACCTGAGTTTGAAGATGCTAAATTTGCTCTTACGGTCTTGCCTAATTGCTTACCACACTTGACCACCACTGTTGGCTACTTTTTGCTCTCAAGTACATTTACCACTGTATTGACCAGTAGAGTAACTCGAATACCTCAGTTTTTTTTTTTTAGACAAGAGTCTCACTCTGTTGCCTGGGCTAGAGTGCCGTAGCGTCAGCCTACTTTAAACTCCTGGGCTCAAGCAATCCTGCCTCAGCCTCCTGAGTAGCTGGGCCTACAGGCATGCACCACAATGCCCGGCTAATTTTTTCTATATATTTTTAGTTGGCCAATTAATTTCTTTCTATTTTTAGTGGAGACAGGGTCTCGCTCTTGCTCAGGCTGGTTTCAAACTCCTGACCTTGAGCGATCCTCCCACCTTGGCCTCCCAGAGTGCTAGGATTACAGGCGTGAGCCACCACACACAGCCAGCCAGTACCTTAGTTTTGAGTCTGCTTTCTACCCCAGTTCTATCCTCTAGAACAGTGGTCCCCAATCTCTTTGGTACCAGGGACCTGTTTAATGGAAGACTATTTTCTCACAGACCAGGGGGTGGGAGGGGTGGTTTCAGGATGATTCAAGTGCATTACATTTACTGTGCATTCAGACTTCTCTGCTAATGATAATCTGTATTTGCAGCCAATCCCCAGCACTAGCATCACCACCTCAGCTCCACCTCAGATCATTAGGCATCAGATTCTCATAAGGAACCTCCAACCTAGATGCCTCAAGTGCACAGTTTACAGCAGGGTTCACGCTCCTATGAGAATCTAATGCTGCCGCAGATCTGACAGGAGGCAGAGCTTATGCAGCAATGCGTGCAATGGGGAGCAGCTATAAATATAGATGAAGCTTACTTGCTAACCTGCCACTCACCTCCTGCTGTGCAGCCTGGTTTCCTAACAGGACACAGCCCAGGCGTTGAGGACCACAGCTCTAGAATACTGGAACACTAAATACGTTTATAGCTTGATTCTGCTACAGGTCTACTCTGCCTCTTGGCTGTTTGGCTTTGTCTGGACTCTTCGGTAGTCTCCCTCATTGCTTGAAGGAACTGTAGTCTTTGTTTCTTATAACCAGGAGAATCTACCCAAAATATCAGACATTTCTTATTCACCACCCATGTGTCTAGCACTAGAAAATAAAGGGTATAAATCTCAACTTTAAGGAGTTGAGTTTACACTCTTGGGAAAGACAAGACATATGCACTATAAGCATTTACAAATCATTAAAGAATAATACAAATAGATGCCAAAATGAGTAGTGAAAAAGTGAGGACTAAATACGGGAAAGATGGAAATGTATGTGGACTGGAGAAAGCTACTGGGGTAGGGAGAAGAGGGAAGCTATCTTGTAATAAGTATTCAGTGCCCACTTTTATAAGGGCTTGAGCTGGATGATTATAAATTGTCAGAGAGGAGTGATCACAGTTTTTCCATCTGCATCCAGTATGGATGTTAGAACCAGGGAAGAAAGCCAGGCATGTGTGCCTGTAGTCCCAACTACTTGGGAGGTTGAGGCAGAAGGATCACTTGAACCTAAGAGTCCAGCCTAGCAACATAGCAAGACTCTGCCTCTGAAAAAAAGAAAGAAAAAAAAAACACCAGGAAGGGAGGTGGACTGGGACCAGTAATAAACTTCTACTTCACCTTGGGGCAAAACACGCAAAATGGTGGCAGAGTTCAGTCAGCATAACCCTTATCAATGGTAAAGAGTTAAATGGAGATTGGTAAAGATGGGAACAGGGGAGCTTTAAAAAAAGTATAGAGTAGAGAAGCCCAGAACTGGGCCATAGGGTCTTTATTGTCATCTACAATAGCTGGGTTGAAAGAATATATATGTTTACCACGAGAAGAGACTTACCGAGTTAACATTTTCCACATGCCCAGAGAACGTGATATCATTTGACTGGGATTTGTGTGAACTACAGTAAGAGAGCCTCTCAGTTTGGCCTGTGTTTGGGAACTTGCTCACCTCGTGGCTTAGGCAATGCTGTATGCATTCTGAGGGGCATGGTTCCTCTGTTACAGGTGAAAAAAAGCCTAAGACTATCTATCACCTTAAATCAAGTCCTGGACTGGGCAAAGTGTCTCTCGCCTTTAATCCTAGCATTTTGGGAGGCTGAGGTGGGAGGATCATTTGAGCCCAGGAGGTTGAGGGTACAGTGAGCTAAGATCAGGGCACTTTAGTCTGGGTGACAGAGCGAGATCCTATCACTAACAAAAAAAAGAAAGAAAAAGAAAAAAAGGACTCTGTAAACAGGGTATATGGATTTCTTCTAACTTGAAAAGCACATCAAACACTTTGCAAAGGCAAATGGGTTCTAAGAGGAGGAGAATCTGTTTGGGGGCACCTTTTTTTTTTGAAATCTGTTTTTTGTATTCCCATTGAATGCGAGGGAAATAACCCCAGTACTTTAGGAGAATGTGAAGGAGCCAGCAGTATTCTCTCCCTAGATCTAAAACTGCCAAGTTAAAATCTGTATCAGTGACTGATTGACCCACTTTCCTTCTTCGCTTTCAGGGCACATCCTTATATGGGTCTAATCATTTATTTGTCAAGAGAATAATTAGCATTTCAGAGCATCTGTGCTAGTTAATAGTCCTGAAATACACCACTAGTCCCATTACCAGTTGCTTTTTAGAAGGATAGATTATAGGAGAGACAACATTTGAACAGGAATGTGTCTGTAAGGCAGATAACGTTGCCTTCATCTCCCTGGCTCAGTTGATCTCTGATGGGTTGCCTTAACAGTGCCCGTCCTCCTACTCTCAAGATTTCTGAAACCTTGGATAATTAAACCTGAGTTTCAAGGTGGCTTAACTAGGCAATATGGTATAGTGACTCAAAGTCTAGGTGCTACAATCAGACAAGTTTTAATGATGACGTGGCTACTTTGGTCAACTTCCTTAACTTTACAGAACTTCCTCCCCCCCCCCATCTTAAAAATGTGAACTAATAGTCCTCATCTCCTAAGATTGTGGTGATTACTGAGTTAACATGATGTATTATACTGCTCACCCACAGAGTAAGTGCTCAATACATGGTAGCTATTTGTCTTGTGATAGACAGTTGAAGGCACATCATCTTCTCCCTTTAGGCTTTTGAGTCCTGGGCATAGACTGAATCTGCTGGGGCTGTTAGAGCTGGGGGCTGAGGAACGTGGATGTCTTTGATCAAATTGTTGATCAGTGTAGCAGAGTCTAAATTTTGCATACTATACCCAAATGTATAAAACATATAATAGCACACTCTATTTTCAGTAACTCATCTAGATGCTCCAATTTCCACTGATGGCAGGGGAAAAAAATTGTAAATTTGCCAGCTATTAAGGGTAACTTAGTC